GTTTTCTGCCTCACTTTTATGTCCCCATCCTCCGCCACTTACTTTCTTTCTTTTCCCTCCTCACTCCCACTCTCTCTCCCCCTTCCATCCATCCATCCATATCTCAAGTGGTAAAGTGGTTCCGGTCATTTCCATGCAGTTTGCTTAATATATGCTGATGATAATAGCCTATCGACCTACTCCTCCACACGTACGTGCATATTCCTCTTGTGTTCCCTGCATTCATTCAGCCATCCATCTCTCCATCCCCCTGTTCAGGCTGGAGGGAACAGCAGACGAATGAGAGGTGGGAGGAAGTGGAGGGGCCACTTGATTGAGTGTTGAAGCTAACAGGCGTCAGTGTTCGTGCTGAAAAAGTACAAATGAATTTTCTTTCCACTGATTCAAAATTCCTTTATTTTTACAACAAAGAGAAAGAAAAGAAAAAATTTAATCATTTCATAAACTACTCACATGCAGCACAAAAATGGAAGTGTTAATTATTTATTTCAACAACATGCAGTGAATGAATCTAAATCATTCAATATTTGGTGTGACCACCCTTTGCCTTCAAAACAGCATCAGTTCTTCTTCTGGGTACACGACAACAACAAAGGAACTTGGCTGGTAGGTTGTTCCAAACATCTTGGAGAACTAACCACAGATCTTCTGTGGATGTACGCTTCCTCAAATCCTTCTGTCTCTTCATGTAATCCCAGACACACTTGATGATGTTGAGATCAGGGCTCTGTGGGGCCATAACATCACTTCCAGTACTTCTGATGACTTTGGCTGTATGTTTTGGGTCGTTGTCCTGCTGCAGAATACATTTGGGGCCAATAAACAACCATTTATATTTCTGAAAGCATTCTTTGTAAACAGCATTTTTTTTTTTTACACCTGCCTAAAACTTTTGCACAGTACTGTATGTACATATGTGCAATGTAAATGCAGAGTTTGAAACTCTTCTGAGTTTAGCTGATGCCTTAGCTGTTTGCAGCAGTTGAAAATAAATAATCAAGTTTCTGATTTGCTCACATAAATGAAAGCCATATGTGAAAGCCTTTGTGTATGAATTCTTATACCCTCCCTGATTTTATGCTGCATGTGGAGGCATCAGAAGACTTATTCATATTGGGGGGGGGTTTTCTGTGTAGACCTTAGTCATGTACTTCAATTCATATGCTGGCCCTTAGAGGTCAAAACTGCGACTTGAGAAAACTCAGATATCTTCACCTCTTGGCGAACAGTGGTAGAACATTAGCAAAAGCTGCATTTAGTTGAATTTATTGTATTTTATTTTTAATTTATTGCTGAAGATGTTTTCCTAATGTTTAACTCAACTTTCTGAAGGGCTTTCCTTTTATTAGCCCTGGAAGGTGAAATAGGCTGAATAATGGTTTTTTTTCAGTATTCAAACAATGGTTTACCTTAAAATGTCAGAAAATACTAAACCCCCCCCCAAAAAAAAACAGACATCCAGTTTCTAAGAATTTCAAGCTGAAAACCTACGAATCCAAATGTACAAACCAGTAAATGTCTGGTACATTTGGTTGAGAATAATTGAATCAATGAGCATTCAAATGAGTTGAAATTATAGGTGCTGATTTTCTGTTGATCATCCTTCTTCCTCGTTTTTTTTCTCAGCTCTGCTTGTATTTAATATTGCATTATTTTAGGCAGCAAATTCACGGACAGAATTACCTTCAAACATGCATCATTAAAACCACCTGCTGCTCCACGCTGCTGTTGCTGCCTGACTGTTGATCATTATTCGTATTAATGTCTCTGTTGTTCTGTCCCGTTCTGCTTTGTTTAACCCTGAAGGACTTATTCATTGCTCTCACATTAGAAATTTGTCACTTGGACTTTGGATTTATTGACTTTCATACCCTCAAGATCAGAGTTTATTGCAACATTATAAGAGAGTAGCCAGGCCTTTTCCACCAGTGTGGTGCTGGTGTCACATCTAGAACTGCTTCCAGTAGAGATTCAAAAAATAAAAATTCCAAGAAGACTGATGCTGATGTGACAAAGCTGGATAGAGAGAAACCCCCAAAAAGCACTTGGTGACAATGAGAAGAAGAAACTCTTTTTTAACAGGAAGAAACCTGGTAGAAGCAGGATCAGGGACGAGCAGCCATCTGCTGCAACGGGTTGAGGGTGAGAAAGATGCCCACAGATTACATCCTTCCATAGAAATTACTCCAACCTCACAGTTATACTACTTTCTCAAAAGAAACCAAAGCTGACTTCACTCATTAACAACATTGTGCTGATGTACTATAAAAGCATTTGGTCAAAATAACGTTAATCCACGATTAACACGACAAATCTCATGCTATGGCTAAGGACCAGTATTCACATTGGTCTGCTGTTTTGCTTGCTACATGATTGGTATTTCACAACATCTGCACCTTTCAAAATACATTTGGCCTGTGCGATACAGACTGTGTTGATTGATATAAAAGCCTCTGTGACTCACACGCTCTTATGCGACCTTGTGTGCAAAGTGAACCACAAATATAGCTCTTCAGCTTTGTTTTGCACAATTTTCCCCTTCTTTACTCTTCAGAGTAAAAAGGTCAGTAATGTTTTGGCTGATCACTTGGTTGCAGCTTAAAGTAATGGGGAGATGTGGCCAGAGCCATGTGTGATATTGGCCAAGTCTATCACAAATGCTGCATTTCAGAGGGAGCAAACCACACAATATGTACCGAATGGATGCAAAAGTGCACCTTCCTTTCACCGTATGGAAATTAATATAAGAAATCAGATAAGGGTTTCTCATAAAAGTGTTCATTTATATAGTTGCAGCTTCCTGAAATTATATAAGCTTTTCTCTTTGGCTGAAATATCCAGAGTCTATGAATATGCAGATTTTTTTAACACAGCTGTTTATATTTTGTAGACACTACAAGTAACGCTGCATTTAACTTCCAACAGTGCCACGAAATTCTCTTTGTTTGTGCGTGTCTGGAATGAAGATGAATTTATTTTAGTATTAACAAACCAAACCTTCAAATGGTCTCTAACAGATCACACATCCTTTAAAATGTGAGAGACGTTAAATTGAGTTCCTGTCCTTTTTATTCCTGCTGTATTTCATATGAATCGAACCAGTGCTAACAATACGTTAAGTGGTATGTTTTAACCACAAGCCATTACTTTGTGGACATAGTCATTATCTGATAAAGTCCATTAGCTATAAGCTATCAGCCTGCCTGCATTATTTAGCTTGAGCTCAGAAGATGGAAATGACTCAGCCTTCCTGACAGAGAAGTCAGTCTTTATCAGCAGTACACTCTAACGCTGAGACATGTCTTTATTGACTGCTGACCATAAATGTATGATAATAATGCTCTGTCAAGTTTATATGCTGAAAAAGGCCCATTATTCAATCCGGCTCCTAAGTAGGAGATTATTGTAGTTTGGAGCTGTCTTTTCCACAGACTCTATGTTAGGTTGTGTTTGTGTGTATCTCTGTCTATGTACACGTCCCTAGAGTGGTGTAGGAAGAGCAAAAGGATGTATCTTTTACATCATGTCATTTCTTTATCTATCCTTTTTGACAAAAGAAGCTGAGAGAAGCACTTCTACCTCCACTCCACTGTTATCTGTCACTTCACTGTCTGTCAGTCATGCACAGAAAAAAAAACCCATACATGCATGCATGCATGAATTTGTGCATTTGTTAGTGTAAAACTCTCTGAAAACATTGGGCGGATTAGGATTCGGATAACTTTGCAGTCTTTGCAGCCTCTCATGCTGGCTTCTCATTTTCTTAGTCAAAGTGCATCATGACGGTAGCTTGGGCTGCTCAGATAACTGCCACTGGAGAAGATTGTGTTTTGCCAATCAGTCTTCTAGATGAATGATGTTGCTATTCCTAGATGGTGCCGAGAACGTGCAGATATAAAAACGTGTCTGACCACCTTTGTTTGCCCCGATGATTTATTAAAAGATAGTAAATGCAAGTATTTTTAGGTCTCTGGTGAGGGGGGAGGGGGGAGGGGGGGGGGCACACCTATCAAGCAGTAAGCAGCTGATACTGGCTGATAAGAAGTCAGTAAATTTTCTTTTGCATACTGAAAAAAAAATCCACTTTAAAATACATTTACTTCATTAAACAGCTCTTTGCGATAATGCTGCAGTGGTGGCGTATTAATTTTTTATTCCTACAGATAATTGCTGAAGTCTGAAGGGCTGGTGACGTTAGTTTGTAGTGTCAGAAGTTGATGTTGGGTTTTATGCTGGACTATTGCTCTTGCTACCGGTGGCATTTCTCCCTTATATCACTCGACCCACTTTCTCCTGAAGGAACTCGCTCCAGCCTGCTGGGTGCATTTAACCAGGACAGGTTATTCCATATGTTTTGAACCCACCAGTGAGCAGACAGTTCCAACATCTTACAGCAAATGTGGCATGCCTGGAAGTGGAAAGGTGTACTGTATATTAGTGAAAGCCTGTTAAGTAGATTTGGAGCATTCCTGTGAACAACAAACAGATGACAGGAGTGTGCCTGCTTTTAATCAGACACTCCAGCAGGTGAGCATCTGCAAAAGGCATGCTATTATCAGGCATAAATCTGATAATGGCATGAATGCAATCCTTGTAATAAGTGGAAGCATAAGAAGACTACTCTGCCCCAGTAAGACATGTAAAAAAAAGAAGAAGAAGCTAAAATAAAACACGAGATACGAGTTATTTTCTTTTTCTTTTCTTTTTTTCTTTTGGTTTTTGTAGTGTTCCACATTTACAAGTGTCAATAGGGATTTTTCAGATCTCCTTAAGCACAAATTAGCTCAATTCATCATGTTTATACAATTTGTGGGATGTGATCAATATCAATGTCTTGACGTTGCCGGTTCCCCGGCCAACTAGGAATTTAGATGAAGAATCAAACGAGGAAAAAAGAAATTCAAATAATTTTTCACATTAGAGCCCACATTTCTGTGCCCAGCCACAGAAGAAAAATCTAAAAGAATGACTTTGTCTTTTTATGCGTGTGTTTCTTCTAGCTTGCTCAGGATGAGGGCAGTCCAGTGCGAGGGTTTGGCGTGGTGGAATATGAGAGCGCCGAGCAGGCAGAAGCTGTGCTGATAGAGATGGACCGAACCCTGGTGGGAGGACAGGAGGTCCGTCTGTCACTCTGTACCCCTGGCACCTCAGGGAGAAGCACCTTGGCTGCACTCATTGCTGCCCAGGGTATGGTGAGTATGTTACGGAGAAAGCAGCATCACAGACGCATCACAGAGTGTACTGAAGAGAGCGCAGACGGCAGTACACGGCATTTAATGTCACCTTCTGTTAACGCAAGAAGAGGCTAATATTAGCGGCAGCATTGGTTTAGTAGCAATCTTAACAGTTCACTAGCCACCAGTTTTAATGTAATATACCTGCCCAAAGTGGTATTTAGACTAAACCCCAGCCGTACTGTATTTATTACAGACTTGAAGAATCGATGAGAGATGAATCACAATTTATTAGTGTGGATATGTCAGTATGTCACAGTTATATCTTCCACATAAAAATGTGCAAAGGTTTTCACCCAGCTGCTCCCACATAAAAACACAATTTAAACACCAAAACGACCGGCTGATTTGCAAAATGCAAGCTTTTGGTTTTTTCACGCCATTTGAAGTGTGCAGAGCTAAAGTGAACAAATTAACCTACAGAAGCTGGAAAATTCTAAATCTAACCTGCTGCTGAGCCCACAATTATTAATGTACGGGCATGTTTTTTATCACCAAATTAAAGGAAAAATCTTTATTTTTTTCTTTCTACTGCATAGAGCAAGTTATCAGGGCTCTCTGGGATTTTAAACCAGGTGGAGTTATAAGCTGTTTTGAAAAAGAAGTGCCAAACTCAGTTCACATCACTTTTTGACACTTGGTTATAGTTACATAACATGCTGTCACCATGGCAACTACCTGCCACTTAGCTGACACAGGTGGACCGTTGAGGTGCCATGCATTTGAATTTCATCATCCGATTCGCTGATTTGACTCTCGTCTCTCTGCAGCTCAAGTCCGGCAGTAGCAGAAATCCTAGTTACTGTTAAAGCTGATTCCAGACACATCCAGGAATCAATATTTCTACCATGTTGCTTGGCATTAATGACTGTATTTGGACCATCATCAGCTTACCACACCCCCTAAACCTCCAAACCCACCGTCACTGTAAATGAATTGAAACATTCCCTTTGCTATTTCCTATCATAAATCCTAATATTACTTTCAAAATTTAAAACGTTATGTCACAGTAGTCTCATTTTTGTAGCATTCCCTCATACGTGGAGGACCACATGCTACAACACTGGACTTCTCATGGAAAAAAAAAAACAGAGGAAAACAACAAAAAAAGAGCGGATATGCTCACAGCTACTTTTCCATCTAATTGTGATGCCAGTGCCGGGTGGTTCTTGCACATCCGCTGCTGAGAAACACCGAGGTTTGACGTGGAGCACATGCACGAACACCCTCTAGCCGAGAAGGTCTTTGTAGCTGTGATACCCCTCCTACACAGAGCTGTGGTAGCAGAGAGGCACTGACATGATAATTATAGTTCTATAGACTGATTGGGCTCCTCCGCTGTCTCCCGCAGCCTGAAATAAACCAAACCACAAGCTAGTGACACACTATGACACTCATACGTGCACCCATTCAAACAGATGCACCCAGTGAACCCACACACGGCATGTAAATACAGCGAGTGAGAGTAAGTGAGAAGTGAGAGCTCCCAAAAGGAGGAGTCCCTGCTAATCCCTGTGGGTACCTCGTTTACTACAGCTACTGAGTCCTGACAGGTTTGTGTGTACGTGGGTATGGAAGGAATCTAGGGACAGAGAAGGGAAGCGGTTAATGGCTACTTAAAGAGCGGTCCAGATGGTGTTTATTTCATGCTAGTAGACATATCGTGAATGAAATAAGCAGTCACCACCGTGACTGACTGTTTTTCACATGCAGTGCAGCAATGACTGCATCAGAATCACTTGATTCAGAGAGTTTCGTATGTAACAAACCTCAGCCAGGTTTGTATCCTGCTAGCTTGCAATCAAGAGCAAGGATTATCCAGCACGAACACTGATTATATTTTATATCTGTTTATATGTTTCCTGTGTAGTAGAGAGTGATAAATGAAACACATCACTACCTCATATGGCAGCTTGTAGGTGGTTCTCTCTTTTCTCTTTTCTCAGGTTTGAGAATAATTATTGTTATCAGAATACATCAAACCTACATTTGTATAGAAGGTGAGCAGCTACCGCTTTCGCTGCGGGTGGGCGTTGGATGCGTTGGTGGAGCTGGAGGTGGGGAGCAATTTTCACAGATTCGCACCTACGAATGGCGGCTCATGCTGAAGACCTGGAGGGATCGTTGTCATAGGCTGAACGTCTACATATGTCACTTTGATGAAGAGAGATGAGTTTTCAGGGCTTTCATCAGTGTTCTCAGAGGAACCGTAATCACGTTTTAAAATACAGGAATGATGGGACGAGATGTAAAATAGTGCTCGTCGGGAAATAGCATCCTAAAGATTTTTCATTTTACAGTATTTGAAGTTTGAAGTATGTCACGTAGGTTTTCCTGAATATATTTTGTGTAATTCAAGATTCCATCAAGACTTCATCTATTGATCTTTTTATGTCTCTGAACGATATTAATATTTATTTGCAACTTGGATGCGCAACAACAAACTCTCCACAGGTGTCCTCTATACTTTGGATCGCCCTTATCGAGCTGTTATAAGTGCTAAATTTCCACTTTAGCTAAAAGCTGTAGTCTCTCTTTCTCTGATGTCATCACAGCTGTTGCAGAGCGTGAATTATCAGATGCACGTAAAGAGGTTATAGCTGTGACGGATGGGATGGAAAATGTGTTTTTGAATAAATTAACAGGGGAGATTGAGGAGGAAGGAAGACATGCAATTGGTAAAAGAAACAAAAAGGGGGGGGGGGGGGGGATTTGAGGAGGAGACCAGAAAAAGGGGAAGAAAAAAGAGGTAAGATAGAAAGAGATCCTGTGAGGACTGTGAGGTTACATTAGTGCCCCGGGGCCCCTTCAGCATTATTGCAGTGAATGTGAGCAGCTGGTAAAAGCAACATCAGATCTTCAGAAAGAGCTCAAGACCTGCTCCTGTCTACAGTTCTCTGAGGCGATTCTCTCATTTCTCCAGTTAGTGTGATGCGAGTGTGAGTGTGAACGCTGAGAACCAGATGGCCTCCTCCCTCCCTCCTTTCTTCTCCCTTCGTCCTTTTTTCCCCTTACGCGATACTTCTCGCTTTCCCTTCTTCGCGGCTTCCTTACCTCCCTGGCATGTGTGTGTGTGCGTTATAGTGTGTGGGTGTGTGGCTGGATTTTGTGCCAGTAGCCAAACAGACTGATGCATGCTGACATTTTCTCCAGCAGAAAGAAAAGAAATAAGAGAGCTCTCCTCCTCCTCCTCCTTCTCTTCCCTTGAAAGACGCTGTCAGCTATGACTGGCCTTGTTCAACACACACACACATATACGCGCGCACACAAACAATAGTTTTCCTCACCGGAACATTCGAATACACATAGTGTACTTGTGCACTAGACTCTCCTCTTCCTTACTTGCTGACAGGACGGAGTCAAACGCAGCCCATCCCCGTCAGTAAAGCTCTCAGCTCCGGGATGCGACAGAGAGGAAACAACGTTGACTTGTGCTAAAGTCAGGCTGTAGCTCGGGGCAGGCGAGGAGGAAACATCACCATCCTTGCTAATGTTGTTTTAAATAGCCGTGTCTGTAGGGCGGCCAGCGCGTACTGCCGCCACACTGTCAGAGCTGAGGAGGATCTACCAGAGCACGGTCGGCTCCATTCGATTTGACGCAGTCTAATTCAATAGGATTTCATTTGAGTCTGTTGAATGAAATTTCCTCAGCATAATGAGTAATTGAATTCTTATTTGGGGTAATGTGCCTTACAGTAACTCCTTTGATTAAATGCAAGTCAGCAGAGAACTGTTCAGATCCAGGAAATTTAGCTTAATGTCAAATTAAATAGAAGCTTATTGGTAATAGGAAAGAAAACAAGAGTTTAAAACGACTCTGAGAAGTGTTGTGTGTGAGATAAGGGCAGCTTTAATTAAACATAATGTTCTAAAATGCACTTGGGTTAGGTTTTAAACATACATATATTCATATATGAAACAAAATATTAAAGATCAAAACCTGAGTAATGCAAAACAGTCCTCGTAAATCTTCCACTGGTCTTTGGTGCAGCTCCTCTAAGCTGTTTTAAGCCCACCCTTTATCACGTTTTTTCCTGATTGGTTGCACCTTCTAAACAGAAGGCCTAAACCGCTGGTGGGTGGGGCTTCTGTGCTCACAGCTGGAACCATGTGCCTCAGTTCAACATCCACCATTGTACATATGACAGAAGATTAGGAAAAGCAGAGCTGTTGCACTTTAAACAAATGAATTCCACAGCAGTCAGTGATGGGGTCAGTTTGTTATTGTAGAGAAATTTGCTCTCTGCATTTTACTCATTCTTGGCATGGGGGCAGAAGAAACCAGAACTCCTGGAAGAAAACAGGCACAGGCCACCTTGGACTTTCTTGCTGTGAGCCAACGGTGCTTATACCTCTTTTACAACTCTGCTCTGTTGTAGTTTGAGGACTGATAAACACCAAAGGCTACACAGGCCTAAGATGGAGTCTCTTCTTTTTCTTTTTTCTTTTTCAATCTAGGCGATTGCATATCAAACTTCCCCCTCTCCCTTATTTTATGGCTCTATGACTTTCTGTCGGCACTATGATTTACTAATCATCTTTACAAATTTGAATGAAAACAATAACAGGATGATATTCTTGCGTCAGACTTATTTGTTATGTATATATTTGTGAAAGCTATGCACAAGAAGCAGGATTACATTTTAAAAAGCTGCGCTTTGATCAGATATTCTTTTGAAGTGACGTATTTAAGTTCAAGGCAGACGCTCCCTAACCGTGAGCTAAACTACATGTGTGACAGACATTTTTACAAAGATTTTTCTTTGTGCCCGTTTCTTTTGAAACGACCGAAACGCCCTCTGAAACCTTTAAAAAAAATTAAAAAAAATATTGGCCATCTCACTATAAGCTGTCATCTTGTGTCAGCACAGAATTGGATGCTGGAAAGGCAGCAGTCATGTAATGTGTCATAATGTGTGTCTTTAGCCAGGTTCCAGCACAGCAGCAGACTGTGGAAAAAAGCTGTTTTTCAAATATGATACAAACTTGTGAATAAAAGTGGCCTTCTCAAGTCTCTAAAAAACATTTTTTCCTTCAGACTCTTTCTCGTCCTTGTTTTTCTCCCCCGTCCTTTCTCTCCCTCCTGCTGCTGTCGTTTCTCAGCTTTGTCCTTTTATATTTTTTCTTGCCTTTTTTCTTTTGTCTCCCCTCTGCTGACATTGCAGCCATATCCTGATGATGTAAGCTAGTGTAATGATTACCTAAGCCATCAGGGGCTCCTAATAACAAGATCAAAACAGATACTGTACTGCACACATACACAGATACACACATGCACACATATAGTCACGTGTTGTTGCACTCACATGTTTTTTTGTGTTTTTTGTTTTGTCTCCAGATTCTGAGTAACAGGAAAGGTTTGCTACCAGAACCAAACTTGGCTCAGCTGCTGACCAGTATGACGAACCCCGCTGCTCTGCAGATACTCATGAGACCGTACCACACTGGGAAAAGAGGAGGTATGCTGGATAGTCTACATTTCAAATCTGTGAAACGAAAGTATTGTACAGAAATATGTAAAAAGTATTTCTGGCTGTTCCTATGTTCCTGTTAAGTGTGTTGGCATGATGATGATTTCCTTAAAAACGTTGAGTGGCCGGGAAAATCCTGAGGATGGGGTGTCACAAAATTTTTAGCCTAAAACCTGTGAATTCTTTTTCCAAAATAATTTTTAAACATCGTATGATGAAAGTTCTGTTTCTTGATTTTTATATATTTAAAAAAGAAAGGCAACATATGAGGAGTTAGAACTGGTGTTTTATTTTTTTTTAAGTGGTTTCTCTTTAAATATCATGCTAGCATATCATGCTACATGCTAGCTGAGATTGTGGCAACATTGAAAAAGTTGTACATCTGGGGAAAAAAACAAAAAAACACCTAACATCTGGATAGTGGATTATCTGACAGTGAATTGGAAATCCAAGCATTGGCTCAGGAAGACTGAACGCAGGCTGTGGCATCTGAAAATGAAAGTTAAAACTCTATAATGCAATTAAAAAACAGATGAACATCATCCTCCTCTATAAAAGACTGAGGTGAGTTGAAGGGGAAAACTATACTTTCACCTGACCAATCAAATCTGAAAAAGTCTGCTTCTTTGTAGATGTACGGGTGCATTAGTTCACATTACATGGGTAGCTTGTACATCTGTCAGAGCCTTATTAATGCTGAAATGATATGTACAGCTTTAGAACAGCTTTTTGGTGCATACATTTTTGCTTAATGCTATAAGATGGTGCCAGATGTATCCTCCTCACATTGAACCTGCATGGCTCCACAGGGAAAGATTCCAGGTGATAAACTGGCCCTGCTTGAAGTCCACAGCTGTCATTCATCAAAAAAACATTCTGTGCATTATAAAATGTGGGCCTAACCTGCATCAAGCAGGAATGGAAAAGCTTCAGGCCTCAGAAGCCTCTGCAGTTGGCTTACTTTTTTTTCAGTGTTTTTGAAAAAACATAAAACTTAAAAATTATGATATTTTAGCATTAAAATTTTAATTAAGAGCTTCCGCATAATGGGTGGGGGATTGTTAAGCTCAACATTTTGTCACAATATTTAAAGAATGCTATGCAGTATCAATATTTCTATCAATTTAGAAAAAGCATGCAGTTAGCAGCATTTATAAATGTAACTAGCTCATGAGCATTTTCAAATGTAAGCATGAAAATAGCCTAGGCAGTGTTTTCCCTGGAAATTTTTTAAGTATAAGTATAAAATAACTGCTAACACTTAATAATTATAGCAACTGAACCTTGTAACTGCTCATCTTGATGTTGGCATATGGCACTTTTATATCACATCAATAATTTATACTGCTGTCATTGTGGACGATGTCACAGGCCTACTGGCAGATTAACCATGATAGAAACATAAAAGGTAATTAGCAAAGCTATTAATTAAGGGCAGCTGTGGCATAAACATTGCATTGGGAGGTGGGATAACAAATGTAAGCACTATACAACAAGTCAATATGAACATTCAGACAAATATAAAATTATGAAATTGGTGATAATGATCTGGGCAGAAATTAGATCATGACTACAGGGCATGGCTGGCAATCAAAGCTCCGCTGAACGAGTCTCCCTCTGCCAGGCCCTCCTATATACTGTAATCACCTCGGCAGTGGCTTCATTATTTGATGAATGGCTAATCAGGTATTAAAATGAAATCGTGTGACATTAGGGGAAGAAATGAGAACAGGAAGGAGAGAAAATGAGAGAGGTGGGGGAGCTCTCTTAAAGAAGAGTATGCACAATTAAAGTCTAAAATTAGGATCTTGATTAAATGTTAAACTTTCTCTACTTATTCTGGAGGAAGCTACCATTAGCATTGACGCTTACATTTATTATGACCAAGGCTTGTGTTACCACGCATGCACAAAAGAAGCAGAAGAAAGGCTGTGCATCTGTGGTATGGGTGCAGATCAGTGTGATCGATTTTGTTTTTATGAATCACAAACAGGAAGTATGTTGAATGTAGAAATTGGGATTGCACTGGAATTTGTGATGTATATTTTGCATTAAAGAAAGCACAAATGTCTCTCCTCACAAACACGTAGTTGCCCTTAAAAAAGGGTATAGAAAACTACAGGAGGTATTGCTCAAGGGGAGCAAAAGGAAACTTGTTAATGGACTCTGTGCCGTTTTGGAAGAGTTATTGGAGCCCAGAAATATACAGTCAACTATCTCACTGGATGTCTTATCAAGTGGGCTGTCACTTTCACAGCGAGAGCTGGCCTCGGAGGTGTTTACTGTGAGAAGTGTACTGGACAACAAATTAACTGGAGATTGGAAATCAGAAAATAATAAGACCAAGAGCATTGCAAAAGTGATTTGGACTCAAGTCCTGAAAAGTAAATCTCTAATGCCAGGAAGAGACCATATCAGTGGATGATAAACATTATATCATCAGGAAGTATGACAGTAATTAATCCTATGTACTCTGCATATATGATGGGGCAAAAGTACTCAAGATGAAATATCTATTGGTGAGCTTAACACAAATTCATCTGCTTAATTGTTTGTTTTTTGTCAGGCCGTTGCAACATCTTGATTGTTTTTACTCTTCAGCCATTCTGCTGCAGATTTGCTGCTGCACTTCATTGTCCTATTGCATCAGCCGGTTTGGGCCAAGCTTATCTATTGGACAGATGGCCTCACATTTGACTCTAGAATATTTTGGTATATAAAGAAGTTTTCCTGTTTTTGTTTTTTTCTTTGTTTTTAGAGCTCTTTTTAAAATCTGTCTTCAACACCAAAATAGAAATTAAGTTTTGGGGGGGAAAAAGTTAAAGTTATGTGGGAGGTAATTTGCTTTGTGCTTGCATAATATCCCGGTATTGCTTTACTGGTGCTTGTTATAAAACAGCCAGCTGTGTGATTGCTTGAAATGTGTTGTAAATGACTGATGGATCGGTTGTCTGACTTGTAATTTCGCCTGTGTGTGCCTGTTGAGATGATGATTGATTAGTACTTTGGTGGAGACTTTAAAAAAAGCAAATCACTAATGGAGGCTCTGGTGTTTCTCTTTGTTGTTTGACTATGTTTTTAGGAAAATACGGGCGTCACACCAGCCTGCCGTTCCTCAGACCTCCCCTCACTACAGCCCTGCTCACACTGGGAAAAGCACACCAGGTCACACTAACATCTAAATCTCTGAATTGTTTAGTGTGTGTGTGGGTGTGTGTGCGTATTCTGATGTGCTTTTCTTTTACCCTGCAGAATGCTATGTTTGGAAATGGACTAGTCCTCCAGAACCTTTTGCACATGCAGCTGGCACAGCAACAGCTTCTACACATCAAAGACAAACGCATCAGCAGCGTAAGACACCTGTTTGTGTGTCTGTGTGTGATGATTTGCATATGCTAGCGCTGAGGGTTAAACATAGTTGGGGGCATGTGCATATGTGCCCTTGTGTTTTTATCTCCAGCACTTAATGCACAGGAAAACGAAACCACATCAAAATCATGCAACCTAATTGCTTCTTCTTTTCTTTTTAAAGTGAGACCTTGAGGTGATGAGTTTCTGTCTGTGTTTTCATTTGCATATTTTTTGTGTTGCTGAAGTGAAAGTTAAATGTCATGGGTACTGATGTTTGGAGTATTTGATGTTTTTTTTTTCTTTCTTTATCTTTTTTCTTTTTTAAGCTGAATGATTGCAATTCATACTGGATACTATCTCTACATATTAATCAACCCATAACTAAGGACCATTTTAAGCTTTCAATTGGCATGTCCATCCATCCATCCATCCATCCTCTACATGCTTATCTGGGTCCAGGTTCCAGTCTAAGCAGTCAAACCCAGTCCTATTTCCTATTGTTCACCCAGAGGGACACTGAGGTGTTTCCAAGCAAGCCCAGAGATGTAATCTCTCTAGCATGTCTTTGGTCTGCCCCAAGGCCTCTTCCCTGTAGGATATACCCAGAATATCTCACCCAGGAGGCATCCAAGTCATATGCCTGAGCAAAATAAACTGGCTCCTTTCGATATAGAGGAGTAGCAGCTGTGCTCTCCATCCTACTTGAATGGCCAAACTCCTCACCCTATCTCTACGGGAGAGCCCACCCACCCTTCAGAAACTCATTTGCACCCCTTGTATATATTCTTTCAGTCACTGCCCAGTTTGTGACCATATGTGCCTGTAGGGAGACTGACTGACGGGTAAATCAACTGCTTTGCTCTGTCAGACTGCAAGAGATAAGAGTCTATCCACACTTCCTCTTGCCAAGGGCAACTCCGGTTTGGAACATTAAGTCTAGCCCTTGTCCAGGAGGCTCAAGAGCCCATGTTGTACATTGAGGTGAGCCTGTCTACACCCAGCTGATATTTCTCAGCCTCACGTGTTAGCTTTGTCTTCTTCCCCAACCAAAGAGGTGAAGTTCCATGTCCCAAGAGTTAGTTTCATTGCTTTGTAATTGTTGTGGAACATCCAAGTATCACTATTAATTTTTATTCATTTATTTTTTGTGAGGACATTTTAATTTAATCTCTGAAGTTGGGCATTTGAACTCTATGGGGATTGACTTGTTCTTGGTGTTGGTCTTGGAGGAACTAGAGTTCTGGGAACTTCAACGCTGGCTTCATTTTCAGTACCGGAGATTGCCACTTGGACTTTTATGAAGATGAGACTGCATATTCTGAGAAATCTGTGAGCAGGTCCTGGTAAATCTAAAACCTTTGTGGATTGGATGCTCTGGATCTGCTTTACACAACATTGTATAGCTAGCACAGCCCTCCATGGTGGATTCTGTTTGGTTTATAACGACCATCTCGCTCATGCTCTTCCAATTTTGTTGTTTATGATATTGTTCTTTGATTTTGCTTTTCTGTTCCATTTTTTTTTTTTTGTAATACTCTTCCTTCTCCTCTTTCATTTCCCCTTTATCAGGTCTCCAGTCTGCTCGGGGACCCGTCCAGACTGCTCATGCAGAAAGCCTTGTCTCTGCGACCTCCAGGCCTCGTGCAGCTGGGGAAAGGCCTCCTGGGAGACTCTCCTACAGGTAAACGGGTTCCATTATGTAGTGGTTTACACATTTACCTAACACGCTAAACATCCACAATTTAAGAGTGTAAGAAATCAAAATGTTAATTACCCGCTGTGGCGACCCCTTAATAGCAGGTAAATGGGTAACAAGCACCCTGATCAGATGAGTTCATTTAATTATTGCAAACAAATTAAATCACACTGAAGCATTCAGGCTTTGGTTGATACCTAATTTAGTGTTTGTTTTTGGTTTTCTTGCTCTACTACTTTTGTCTTTTTCTTGAGAGGGAGCATATTAATAGTTTAACTGTGTGGCTCCAGAGTGCAGCGGTTTACACATTTGCTTGGCAAGGCCTGTGAAGGTCGCTGGTTCAGGGAGCAGCTGAAAGTAGAGTCTTATTAACATTTTAACTTGGTAGCGCTCCTACAACACCACCTTTATTTTTCCACGTACCAGTTTTGTAAAAATCAATGATTTACTGTTTACAGTGTAACCCTTTGGTCTGTTCTCTCTGCCAGATCCAGAATCTGTTCTATTTTACATGTTAATAATGAAGGCTCTAAGGTCCCAGAAAAATATTGTTCATGTTAAAGTGAAAGCCATAAGTTTTGTGGGTCCTTTTCCTAATTCTGACCCGTGTGTCAGGCTTGTCCCTGTAAAGACTGCTGAATTTCGCCCAGCTGTACGTTACAGTGCGGCGCAGGAAGCTGCAGCAGATTTACAATTCAAATCTCCAGCTGAGAAAAGCTGTGTTGTTTTAAATGGAAATGATATACCGCAGACTTTTTATGTGCATAAAAACAAACAATCTCACCCATGTGCACCACTGTGAGTGTGTCCCATTTGATTGGATGCATGAGTTTGCAATTTTGCATACGAACATGCGTGTCTCTTTTCGGTGCGCGTGTCTGCTGGGGAATGTTGGCTCAAGGCTCGTTAGAGCGGATTCGTTTATTGTGCGATGGAGGCCATTTGTCACAGCAATATTGGATTTATAATAAGTGCCACTGTGCGTGTATGTTCACGTTTAGTGTGTGTGTGCATCTTTTACTTATATGTTTGTGCTTTTTTTTTGGCCTGTGTACATTTGTATGGGATTATGTTGCATGTGTACATATTTGTGTTATTAAACCCTGGAGTGAGTGAAATATTGGGATTGTGGAGAGCTAAGTGGCAGGCTGTAAATAAACACGATAAGCAGTGATGTATGAGCGGGAAACTTGCTCTCAAATATTACAGCTGGCTCTGCAGAGACGGCCAGGCTGAGTTTCCAGCCGTCTGAGCGATTCGTCTGTGTCCTGAGGAGACGGAGACACTGATGGTCATCTGTGAAAGCCATTTCGCATGTTTATCTGGCATCTTTCCCAACCGTGCCTTTATTTTCCCAACCGTGCCTTTATTTCCCTTCATTTAATTTCCTTTTTTTCTGTATACTATGTTTTTACTTTACTGTTTCTTGAATTTCAACTTTCTGTTATCACTCACCTCTCCTTTCATTTCCTCCTGTCTTTTTTTTTTTTTGCTTTCTTGTCATCTCCCCTTACAGAGTTGGGACAGGAGTCAGTTCCAGCATCTACCCACAATGCCACAGTAGTGGTTTCAGCAGCAGGTGTCATGCCGTACCTCCAGGGTCGGGCTGTAGGAGGAGACCTACCTAGCCACAGCACCCATTCTGTGACTACGACCCCTTCTGCTTCCTCCTCTTCTTCCTCCTCTTCTTCCTCTTCCACCTCCTGTGACAACAGGCAGCCAGCTCCTCCAGGGACGATGGTGAGCGCCCAACCGCAGGGACAGAGCTATTCCTTGGGTATAAGTAACTCAGGCCTTGGCCCGCCTCCGCCTAAACCCCCTGGAGGAGTTTACACGACAACAGGCCAGCACAACAGCTCAGACAACTGCCCCCTGGTGAGGACACCGACCGAAAATCTGCATGCGTGAAGGAAATACAAAATACTTAGACTGTAAATAAAAGATGGCCTTCCAAGTCTGAAAGGAAGTCCAGTTGTAAACCTAGACTGGGTCTGTATGTCTCATTTGACGTATGATCTAAGTAAAACATGTTCTAATCATTACACCGTTTCAGTTCTTACTTAATACAACATGATATTTATTTTTGGATGCTTTAGGGCGGAGCTAACCCGTGATTGAAAATTTGCCAAATTATGACCTTGCAGTGCTCTCGCTTACTCGGATCGTCCCCTTAATTGGATGTGTGCTTTAAAAAATAACGAGATGCGACAGTCAAAATGCTCACAAAGCATTTGATGATGTCCCCTTGGCTACGTCCATCATTTATATACAGTCTTAACATTTCAAAATGTGTAATTTGACAGACTCACAAACCAGGCAGCATTACCTGGCCCTCCTTGTCAGTTTTACATAATTGTCGCCTGAAAAGTTTGGTGGAAGCTTCTAGAGATATTGATGTAATTCTTTCATTTCTATATTTATGTGTACGTTGCAGCACAAATTAATATTTGAACTCAAACTGTGATGCAAGTTGTTGATATTTTCTGTGAAACCGATCTGTAACTTATCTCTAGAAATGCTTGTTATGGTCCTAACTCCTTCTACCCTGCAGTCTCTCTGTCTCTTGGGGGGAGGGAGTATTTATTCCTGATTAGTGTTGTCTGCTTTTAACCTCAACACACAATATCAAGGGAGCTTTTTGAATAAACAGCCTCAGTCCCTTGAGCGCTTTACCTTTGGAAAATGCCTGTAATGCAACCTGTACCCACCTGTCTGTTTTCTTTCTAAAACACCTCCCTAAATCTCCTAGACTGGGCCAGGATTAAATACAGTGCGACTACACTAACATCATTATCTCTTATAAGTCTGTGTACAGAGATAATCACAGTGCCGAGGTTCTTAGGGGACACGATTCCAGTCCCAGTACTGTCTTCTCTGAAGTCCCTTTAATAGAGAGAAAGTGTAATTACTAGAGAGGACAATCCTCGCAGGTTTCCACCATCACTTTAGCTCTTCAGTAGCTCACAAAAGTCAGCTTTAGAGCCTCATGTAAACTTTGTATAATCAGTATTTTTTAGAATTTGTGTAGCACAGTATTTTTCATTAAATCCACAATGTGATACATGTTTGGAATAAAGATGAAGCAAAGGAAAGCAGCTGTAATTGCCTTCAAACACCTCTAAAAACTAAAACTTGATTTTTATTTGCAGTTCCTGTTGGTAGCAGTGCAAATAATACATTTTATATTCACCTGTCTCTCTTTAGGTAAACAGTGGACAGAGTTCTTTGTTGGGCGATCCTCCTAAAGAAGTCAGGCTGCCTTCTAATCCTTACCTAAACCTGGCAAGTGTAATGCCAGGAGTAGTTCTGCAAGGTGAGCACACGATCGCACAACAACCATAAAGCTTTTGCACCAGAGTTCACGTCCCGGCTTTTGCAGCACTTAAAAGCATTTTGTGCTCATTTATTAGTCAAGCTTTTTTATTCAAGAAGAGCAATTCAGGTCAGCCGGTGATCAATTCTATCACCTCTGTTAATCAGATCAGTTTTAAACACCTAAATGAATGGGGGTGCTATAGCCGGCCACAAACTTATTAACAATTCTCCTAACATTGGCTCATAACATTGGCTCAGGCGATTAGAGGATCATCACGGGGTCCTTTTGTCCCTCTGCGGGGGTTACTCCCACTAGGTTTGAATCTGGGACTCCCCACCATTTGACCTTAGAACTGAAGAAGCTTCTCGGATGAGAGGTGAAACGTCTCAAGGAACTTAAAGAAGTCCAGACGCTTTTCTTTGCAAGCTCCTTTGACTACGATGACCTGGATGACTGAGAACCTTCACAGACACACCTAAATGAATAAAATCAGTTGGAAACCTCATATCAGACACGTACAAAAGTGTCCACGAGCATCTCAATCATGAACAACATGAAACAGGTTCTAGATTATAATTGTCTCTATATACTGAATTGTCTCTGATTCTACCAGTATTTAACTTATTGTGTAGAGGTGTGGGGAAATATTAAAAAAATACAAAATTAAATTAAATAAATTACAAAAAAGGGCAGTTTGTGTGATAACCCACATCATTATGATTATTAACACATCATTTGTCGCCCATTCTCCCTTCCACTCTTCCATAGGCTCAGTGGGGAGCAAAGCCCAGGGAGGACAACCCAGCTCTGCAGTTTACAACAGCTCAGTCGCTCCTGTGGTCTCCCAGGGCTCCAGCTCCTACTCCCACAGTGCAGCAGCTACGACCGCTGCCCCGTACAGCACAGATTCCTCCACTGACTACAGCCAGTACAACCAAGCATACACACAGGTGCTGCCCTACAACACATGCACGTGTGCACACACACACACTACACAAATATGAATGCTGAATTTTGGGGTCTGTACATTCAGTTAGTGTGAACAGGCAGTACTGGACCTCAAATATGCTATTGATGCATGTGTTGCTGAGTAGATGGATGGATACACAAAGCGCGGCTGGATGGGTGCAGCAGAGACAGGATGAGCGGTAACTAGGGGAGGCAGGGTGGTGGAAGAGATGGGAATGGGTATGGATATTTGGACAGACAGTATGAGAGTGGATTTGGCAGCGAGCACTGCGTGTCTCCATCTGTCCCTGCTCTCCTTCTCACGCCTAACACTCCACTCAGAACAAGTCCCAAAGCCCTTCTACTGCTTGTTTGTCATCTTTCTTTCTCTTTCTTTTTTGCGCTTCTTCCTCCTCCAGCAGTAGGTGACATATCTGATGCTCGCAGCAAGTACCAAACCCCATTAGAAATGTTAATTACACTCTACTCATCCAAACAAATGAGTCATGATTAGATAACCAATAAAACGGTTGGTTTAATTTGTCTGGAAAGACAAAGACAGAGGAGCGAAACGCTGGAGAGCAGGAACAATACTTAATGAGACGCATAAAAAAAATTAAAAGGTGGCAAAGAAAAAAACAACAAAACAATCACGCAAAGACAAGAAAGCACTGTTCATGCTTGGTAATGTGTGTGTGTGTCGTAGGAGGCCATGCAGCAGTGGTACCAGCACTATCAGGCGGCACAAGCCCACAGCTACAGCACTGCCGCGCCACAGGACAGCACGGCCGCAGACTACAGCAAGGAGCACACTCAGGTGGCAAACACACACCTGTTTGTGCCACGTGTTGTTTTTTGTTTGATCCATGTATTTCCATGTAAATGTATTTCCTTCATTTCTCCATCCTCGCATCAGAGTCCTGTCCACTTCAGTTTGCTGTAAATGTGTTCTTTGTGCAAGCACCTTAAAATATTTTGCAACTAACAAAAAGTAGCTGCAGTGCTAAAAAATAAAATGAAAGGAACACTTTTTAATCAGTGTAGCATCAGGTCAGTTAAACGTCTGGGATATTGATCTGGTCAGTCGCAGAGGGGGTTGTTAATCAGTTTCAGCTTCTTTAGTGTTAATAAAATTAACAACAGGTGCACTGGAGGAGCAACAATGAGACAACCACCAAAACAGGAATTGTTTTACAGCTGGAGGTCACTCACAGTCTTTCCCTCCTCATCTTTTCTGACTCTTTGACACTAGTTTTGTATTTAGCTAGGGTCAGTGTCGCTACGGTTAGCGTGAGGTGATACCTGGACCCTGCAGAGGTTGCACGTGTAGTCCTACTCCTCCTGGATGGCATATGGCCAGAAGGTTTTCTGTGTCTTAAGAACATGAAGGAGATTCCAGAGACAAGGCCCTTAACACGGACAACCTAAGTCTACTGGCCGCTGCCATTTTTTCACTTTTTTAAAAAATGTTTTGTTTGTTCTGAATTCAGCTCTCTGTAGGTTCAATATTTTCATTTCCATCACATCCTTTTATTCCTAACACGTTACCCAGTCCAAATTCGGTATGAATATCCAGCATGATTTTTTTTCCCCTTGAGATCTAATTTGTTCCTTTAAAAATTAAAGTGTTCCCTTAATTTTTTTAAGCAGTGTAAAAAAAACACAACAAAACTACAATGGATGTGAAATCTTGTTTTCTAGACTCCAGCTGTGTCCACCTATGGAGATTACAGTTCCTACATGCAGGCAGTCACTCAATACTACTCCCAGCCAGCAACAGCCAATCAGAGCTACGCCAGCAAGGTAAACACACACACACACACACCATAAACTCTTTGAAACACTTGGCTCTCCTGACCAGGTGTTATCCCTCAACTAGCTGCTTGGAAAAGAAGAGAAAACAAAATCCTGTGCACAAGTATACGCACGAACAAGCACACACACACGCACGCACAGCCTCCGTAGCCATTCACTTCAGTTATCATGCATGTATCAGCAAAGCTAACGAACCCAGCGTGTCCCAGGGATAAGCATTTTTACACAAGTTATTCATTTGTCTTCTTAAATTAGTTAGAACATACAAATAATTCATATTAGGGTAAGATAAGCTCATTTAGATTGTCTGTGACCATACGGACACACACACACACACACACACACACTCTTGAAAAATCCAAACAGCTTCCTATCCTGCAGACAGAGTGTAAGCTATCCGCACGCTGGCACTAACATGAAGTTCATCCGCATGTTTATTTGGAGAGGTTGACCTCTCGGCGACACCGATACCCTGTTAGAGGGAACGCATCACTCTGCACCCAGCAGCTGATGCCAGCCGTCTCCACACACAATGAGCAGCCAAATCCAGGCTTATCTGCTGCTGCTGCTGCTGCTGGAGGATGTGAGCATATGTGCATTACTTGTGGGGGGACATAGATCAGTTTCACGTTGTGATGAATCGGGGACTCGTCTCCCTTTTGGGGACTAAAAGTCCCTTTGAGGTAAATCATAAATGCTTTTTGGTGGAATGATTAATTAGAGTAAGGCTCCAGGATGAATAAGTATAAGGCAAAAGTAATGTCCTCTGATGTAATGGAAACACGACTGCATGTAAGATGTTTTCTTAGAAGATGATGTCATAGATCTTATTGCACAGCTGGCTTGGACCCTGGCGTCCTGAGCTCGTGGAAATTTTGATAACTCTGCCTGAGAAATCCTTCGTATCATTTGACAAAGGCGTTACATTGAGCGGTGTATATGTCGGCATGAGTATTTTGATTTGGGATGGTTGCCTCGGAGAGTAAGCCCCTGTGACAGGAAGCCGGTATGAATGAGCCTGCCTGATATGCCTCATAACAGACACTAGAGGGCAGAAAAGCTAACATGAATAAAACACTTTTGTCAATTATTTTCTCATGTTATGAGTGTCTGTCAGCACCTAAACAGTAACACGGCAACAAAAAACGGCTTCAGAGACCATTTTCCTTGGTGTCCTGAGTATACCTTTGAACCGTATCAATAAATAAGCTACTACTATTTGTTTCTGTGTTTCCTGTAGGAGGTGGAGGTGTGTAAGCCTCTGGGAGTGTCTCTGCACGCGGTCAGTAATGGCGCGGCTCCTCCCCCGGCCGTCCTACCTGCCGCCGCCGTGCTCCCAGCTTACAGCACGCTGCCCTTAATGCCCGGCTTCCTCGGGGCACCGCACCCATCTGCAGCCGCACCGAACCCTGTCACACACGCACACACCGCTGCTGCGGACTGGAACACCTATTACTATGTAAGTAAAGAACAACCCATGATCCCGTATGAGACACGAAACACATTTTTTGTCTCCATTCTTTTAGGGGTTTTTTCTCCTTCCTTTTCATTTCTTTTTGACACACTCGTCTTGGGCCAAATAACAACAATTCAACATTTCATATTGCAGCTAAGTGAAATGTTGAATTGTTGTTTCCTCCACAGCTTCTGATATTAGAGCGCTGCACTCGTTGTTGACAGTGGGGATCTGGGAACGGGGTTGCTGCTCATCCTGCTGAATTGAAAAGTGATATATTGTGCTAACCTTTTCTGTATGCTTTTATGTGTAGTAGGGCAATCGTTGCTAGTATAATAAATATGTGTAGAGATTATTGTCTGTACTGCAGGAGTATTTGTCTGTGGTTAGCTTTAAAAAAAAGAGTTGCTGAGGGTGCGACTGCTTTACAATAAAAGCAGAGAAATTGCTCCCTGCATAGATGTTTCAAATTAAAAGCTGCTATACTGGGTCAAATGTTAGGATCCGTTCCTTTCCTTGTAAGCCTTTTAATGTGAAAGAAGAACAGGAAATAGGCACTTTAGACTGAAACAAACACAAAAACAGTGACTAAAAACAATAAAGCTGAGCTCCAGGCAGCAGTGTGACGTGTACAGATTGATGTCAGTGCTGTCAGAGATTTAAATATCAGTTCTCATTTGAAGGTCTGTGCTGGTCTGCATTAGCTGCAAGTAGCTCCATGCGTTTCTGCTTTCAAACCTAACAGTGCAGTGTTATAAAGGCTGCTTGCTTAGAATTTGTTTCCTCTTTTTTCTCTCTTAAGTCAACCAGTAGACTACCATTCAGTGGAGCTTTTATTTATGTTTTTCCCTGCATAGTTGAAGGCTGTTAAAGTCACTCAAGGAGACACGGAGGTGGAAGAGATTCACAGAGCGAGAGAGAGTGCACAGTGACGTAAACAGACCGGGGCCAGACGTCTGAGCTAAGCGTCATCTCCTCAAAGATTTGCATTTGTTTGTGCTACTACACACAAATGCATGCAAATTCAGGATTTTTGCTTATTCATCAAAATTGCACAAACCTGTACGCTTCTTTGTCACCGACCTTCTATGTTAGTTGATCATTTCAGTAATTTAGGGTTAATCTCCTGCAGATCGTTAGCAAGGCTGCACTTGTTTTAGTAAGATGCAGAAAACAAAATGTTTAGTGACTTGTTTTTTTTTATGTCAAGTAGACAACAGAAACTTATAGTAGTGGACAACCGAAGTCCTGAGATGAATTAAATTTTCTCTTTGAAGTGGCAGTTGTGACAATATATTTTTGGTAAAATGGTCTGAAACCAAGAGTAATATTCCCGGGATAAACAATAAACCTTTTCATGATAATAAAAAAAGATTTCCTTAGTATTTGAAAATGAAATATATGGTTTTTATTGGTGACTTTCCAACTACAAGTGTTTTCATACACGTCCAGGTCAAACGTCCATAATCCCTCCTCACCTCTTCCTCCCGTTCTCTTCTTGTTTCTAACCCATCAGAACCAGACGAGAGGCCATAAGAGGGAGTATCCTCAGCTGGCAGTGCAGGAAGTTACGGCATCCGATGCGGCCTACATCGGGCAGCACTCGCAAGGCCTGGGGGGGCAGTACGCTGACTACTTTAAGAGGAAGAGGCTCTAGTTTGAACCGAACCACCTTGAAGCCTAAAAGCTTAGGGGAGGGAGGCGCAAACAGCTGGATGTCTGCTGGATGTCACAGCTCCCTCTAGTGGCCTTTCTGTGGCTGCCATTTTGCAGTCCTACAAAAGTCAGTGTTGAGTTTGAAAGATTTAGGTTTGCAGATGGCTCGAGTGAAATGAAGCCATAGTGCTCTTTGATCTTGGCACGTATGTACACACACGCACACACACACACATATATATACACACAGTGTTATTTTTGTCCTGTTCAAGCCTTAACTCTTTAACTTAAGCTGTTGTTTCACAGTCAGTGTGTTAACTGTACTTAACTACTATTGTCTTGTACAATTTTTCTAATATATCATGTAAATTGAAGTATATTGCATCTGTATGTACAAGCAGCTTTTGTATTTGCAAGCAGGGCGGCCCGCCGTCTGCCTCTGAAACTGTCTTAGGACTGGCCATGCAGCCAGCTACGCCCCCCCCCCCCCCCCCCCCCCCATCCCAGTCTCCCTTTTTTTTTTCAAAAGACTGAACGTGTCTGATGTCGCACACTCGCCCTTTGATTTGTCAGCCAGTCTGACATCTTTTTGTTCTCGCTTCCCTCTTTTTTCTCTCTTTTCTTTTTATTAGACCAGGTTACTCTTTAAATACCCCCCCGAGCTTAGAGTACGCGTGTGTGCGTATTTATGCGCGTGTGTGTGTGCCGCTCTGCTGTATCTGTAGGAAATGTCAGCCATTTCAATCCCAAGGTTTGGGAGCACATCAGGAAAAAAAAAGGGCCTAAACCAATCAAAGCCCTTAATTTAAAGCTTCCCTCAATGAATGGACTTTTCTTACAATGACTGGATGGATAATAAAAGGCTGGTGTAAATAGTGCAGTGTAATACAGAATATATAAAGCCATGTGTAACAGACAATATCACATACAATGGATGTTTCTGAGCTCCTCTGCGAGCCTGTTGTACAACATGAATGAAGGTAAAACCTTTTAGTGTCTGATTTGTTTTGTTTATACCTATACTGTTATATATTTGTAATATAATAATATTACGAGGCAATTCAAGTAATTTACTAATCAAAGCAGGTTTCGAGTGTGTTTGCTTTTGCGAATAAAGTTGTACTCAAATCGCTGTTAAAAAACATGTGCTGTTGCTTCTCTCGTGAGTAGCAAATCTTAGCTGGATGAAATGATCAACTGATGGCTGGCAGTGGTGAAACAGCTTCAGGATCACCTTTAAAAAACAATATAAGTGGTTTGTTTTTAGCCAAAAACAAAAGCATTTAGTCATTACTGAGAGATTTAACTGGCAGTGACATTTGAAAGTCATTTTGGATACATTTGCATGGTGTGCATATTGCATAAGTCGCTGTTATAATAAAACAGTAAGATTGTATGCTGTATAAGATGGTCTGTACGGTTTTCAGCTCTTTTCTTTTTCTTTTTTTTGCACACGAGATGCTACTAACATGCTGCTTTGCATGTGAGTTTCTGCACTTTAATTTCATGCTTGTGGGGAGGGTCTTTTTTATGTGTGTGTTTTGGGGTAAATTATCAAAGTGGACCTATTCTGCTCATTACCACCATTGACAATCTTGGACTCTGCTAGCTAGAGTAGCTTTGCATGATTTACAGGCTTACACTGGGCTTCATCCCCTGACTCAAACAAGACCACGCCCCCTCTTTAGATCGACTTTATTCTGATTGGTCCTCAAAAACAAAATACCTCATTATTTGAAAATGTGTTCATATTTCATATGAGCACACACTATTGTCACAGTATAGATGCTGTATGTGATGAAGGAAATCATAATAGGTCCACTTTAATGTGCATTTTTCTGCCGGTGAGATATTTGTGGCACAGGCAGTATCCAGGCAATTTGTGCAGTGTTCATTACAGAGGAGAGGTTTTACTTTTTATTCATAATTTTAGAATTCATTGGATTTTAGGTTTGTGCATGCGGCCCTCTGTGTCTAACAAACTGGCAATAACTAAGGTTCCCACTTCTCCTGCTGGAAGGTTGAATGTAGAGCTTGTGCAGAAGTTTGCAGTGTAAACAATTTTGCCGTTCACGCAGCGCAAAGTGAAACTTTTCTCCTCTTTCCTGTCTGTCTTCACGTTCTGCTCAAAATCAATTTTTTTTAATATTCCTGTGCAGAAAAATACATATGTTGTTATTGCAGCCACACCGAAAAGCACACGCTCCCAACTAGTGTGAACACCAGTGACTGGTGATATATAATGTTCGCACACTGGTTTAGTCCAAGTAATCTGGTGTGAGTTTGCTGCCGCCTGTGTGACGGGTGTGCCGAATGTCAGGATTGTTCTTAAAATGGGGGGAAAAAAACAACGGTAAATTAAGGGCGATAAACACGCAAGCCCACCTTCCTGTTTTCCGTTCCGTCTTTGTCTGCTTTCTGTGGTTTGCAATAAATGGACTCTCACGTGCTCCGTGATGTCGCAGGTCTTCAGATTACAGTGAAGCCAGTGAAAACTGTCGCACAACTTTCCCATCTCACAGCTCCACCCCATTTTATCGGACCGCCTCTTTTCTTATCATTATTATTATTTTATTAGCCATTTAAAGGCTATGAAACTTTAAGATGGGCCAAAACATTCCCCTAAACCTCTCCTTTGAAGTTCATTTTGAGAACATGGGTGCAACCCTGATTACAGCAGCAGCTTTATATACCTGCACAAACTGAAACGTCACCAGGCAGAAATCTTGTAACTAAAGCTGGGACTCAAAACACCTCTCATGGAGCCTAATCATCATCCAAATGATTAAAGTGCCCTTATTCTGCTCATACCTCCACGTTGTTGATCTTGGACTCTAGAGTAGCTTTGCATGATTCTCAGCTTACACTAGGCTTCATCCACGGACTTAAAAACTCCACCCTCCCTTCTGATTGGCTGGTTCTGGGAAACAAAAAGTGTACACGTGGAGAGCTGCGTGGCACAGAGGTGGAGGAGTAGAGCAGTTGAAACCATGTGAGCATTCTCACACCATCTGTCCCAGTACCTCCCCGTTACATACCTGTACTTTTAAAAGCACAGCAGCAATATGAATTTGCACATTAGATAAATTCATTATCTGCTGAGCTGTTCTCGTAGGCGGCTCGTTTGTTAGAAATTAAGGAGAGTGAACCTCATTTGGCCATGAAGTCTGTGTCAGCAGTCAAATCAGCTTTCACGTGACCCTTTCAAGCACTTCTTTTAATAGATTACTTTCCCCCCTGCTGTACTGTGCTTTGCTCGGGTCTCCTGTGAATCAGCTCAAAGTGCTTCAGTAGATTTTATGGCGATGTGGTCGTCTGGACTAGTTGGCTGTGCGGCCTGTCTCGGGGCCACAGTTTGATTTGCTTCCCAGCACCGAGTGCTATAAAATAAAATAAAATAAAGGCAGCCAGCTGGACTCCAGCTCTGCTCTTCTTCTTTTTTTGTCAGGTGACAGCTCTCACCTTCACCTCTTTTAAGTTAGAAGCGCCCGTCTATGTCAGCCTCTCTGTGTGCGTTATGAGCAGGGCCTTTTGTAGATGAACAGCTGAGGCAGCAGACTTTGAAATGCACTGTTTGCTTTTCTGCTCTCCTGTCTGTCTGTCTGTCCAGTCTGGATCCTCTTACTAAAGTCAGTGATGCCTGAATCATTTTAGTGGTTTTTCATCAGTTGTGTCATCTTTTTTATCTGCGTAGTGTCGTTACTATGTACAATATTGCAGAACGTCTGAAAACTGTGGACTAAATCCATTCAATTTCATAAAGATTGGATCTTTTAGACCTCATTTTCTATCACAGAAGTACCTTTGCTCTTTTTTAAACATGTTTATTTATTTATAAAAGACTTCCCAGAAAATGTATTCAAATTCAGGAGGGAATTGTCTGAATAGTTCTCAGCCCCCAATAATCTAAGTGAGGAAATGAGATTCAGTGCAGTACCATTGTTTGAATGACTGGTTAATTAAGACTTGGCAGTAATTCTATTCTTCTTCTCATATTTCAGGGTTAGCCATGTTAGCCGGTGTAACATTAAACAGGTGGCATTGTTGATCTAACACACCCCGCTATCCTTCTCTGCCCAGTTCACACAGACCTTGTCCTTCCACTATTCAAGCTGTTATTCGTCAGCAACTGGGGATAAACAGAGCAAACGTGTTCTGTAAGAAGTGTTTTTAGTTATTGATTACATTTGCATCTAATAGAAGTGTGCAGAGGCCCCTTTAGACTAAGCACATAAGTGTGAGTAAGCACAACAATGAAGTTAAAGATGCAAAAACACAAAGGTTACAAGAGAAATTGTTACAGTCCCAGGATCTTTAAAGGGCACTAATAAGGAGCAGTGCTACAAGGCCCATCAGGCTCATAAACTGTAAATAAAAGATAGGCCTGTGAAAAGTCGACCTGCATTTTTTAAAAAATCTTCATGGCCAGCAGGGGGCGACTCCTCTGGTTTAAGAAAACGATCCTACTTTTTGCTCTTGAGGTCTCACTGTCTTGTTTCAGGTCGTCTTCAGTGTATTTTAGTAAAGTGTGATTCTATTTGTAGTGACAGGAAAAAACAGGATATCATTTCAGTACTGACTTTGTAATTGACTTGCTGCCGTGTGGTTTCTAATTTAAACCATTGCAGCTTCACTAAACTGAAAGCTATCCCACAAAACAGCATCCATTTTTGTTTGCTTGATATACAGTGTACAGTTGTTCCTCTTCCCTGTCTTCACCTGTCTGCGCAGGTCAAAGAGTCCATCCTGTGTGCTGGTGTCTGTTTTTGTAGCGCTTCACCTGTTTGTTTGGGATGTCTAGATTTAGGCTTTTTCCCTTTTTTCCTCTCACTCTGTTTTGTCCTTTGGGGCTGCTACAGAAACAGCTACACCATCCTCACTTCAAGCCCAGTGTTATTTTTATTTTTCTAGCTCTTCCTTCGCTTCTGCTTTGTTCGTGAACATCGCACATCTACCAATAGCAGATATGCATCGTTAAACTGTTTGCCACAGCTTCCAAACTTCCATTTGTCATCCCTTCAGTAAATACCTCCCTCGTTTCGAAGCTTTCTTAACGTTCCTGAATTCGCACATTATGAGTTGAGCCGGCGGGGTGAATTTAGCTGGCGCTGTGTACGCGCTTATGGGGCTGAAGCTCTCTAAAAATGGGCTTCTGGCAGCTAATGGGAGTAAGGAGAGACGGGCTGAAAGAAAGAGAGCGATGGATAAACAACTCCAGCTGCCTTCAGCTACTCAGCCTGCAGGAATATCTTTTTCTTTTTTTTAAATTCTGTCTCCTTGCTCAGTGAAGTGTTTCTGTCTGCCAGACTCCTGCATGTTGCATGTACCTGTAGAGCTGTCACACACACACATACTCATACTCCAGAAGATGTCTCCTCTCATTTGGTAGAGTATGAGTATTAGATGGACTCTCGAACACCATTTCGCTCTGGCACAGTTCTTCTGTTTAGAGCTGAATCTCGATGAAGACATAATAAGACAGTCATATAATTAGGAGTGTTATTTTATCGCCTGTAGAGTGAATCATCCAGCCTCCTCAACAAACCCAGAAAAACATTTGTGTGCTCTGACAAAGGTTCGACAGCAGCCTTAACTGTGGACTCAGAGACGTAACTTGGACATGACTGAATACTCAGAACATTTTCAAATGCAACTCTATGCCAGACAATCCAACTAAATTTGCACCAGGTACATTTTAAAGGATAAAACTGTGTGTTTCTATTATTGTCATCCGATCCATTGCAATCCCATTAGCTTCAAAGAATGATTTTAAAAGATCCTTGCAATCCTGGACCTGTTTGAGAAGGCATGTGTTGGGACTGTTTGGCCTAAATTGTCACACAAAGAAAGCAGAACTGAATGTGCAGTCGGATAAAAACGAGGGGCCTTCAGCCTTCAAACAGAAAGTAGAAACCGTGACACGTCTGACTGGCAGTTTCACACAGTGAATGCATAGAGGCTGTGTAAACACGTACACCAGGGGGTGCTGTGGTGCTGGCTCTGTTCAATTAACTTTTATTTATACAAATAGTGCTTTATATTAAGGTAAAGACCCTACAACAATCACATGACCCCATATAAGCAAGAGCTTTGGCAACAGTGGGAAGGAAAAACTCCCCATTAACAGGAAGACTGTGAGGAAAACAGGACAAAAGGCACATTGTTAATACTTAATGATTTGTGCTAACAGTAGGATTTTTGGGGAGAATTCCAGGCTTTTGGTTTCACTGTGAACCAAACCTTTGCATTCTGGAGAGTTTTTAATTTGTGCATTCAAATGCTTGGTGCAGTGTAGTAACTCAACATTCTCCCATCACAACCTACAGGTCAAGATTCACTGGTGTCACTTCTCTTTTCTCTATGTTGTTAAAAAAAAGAACCTGTGTTGCAATATAATCTTCCTCCCAACATTCACAGTACAAATAGTATTTTTAAGGCTTTCACTAATGTTGAGTTCCAGTTCCTTTTTTTTGTTATTTTGTTATATGGGTTAGATTGATAAGATAAAGGGCAGTTTCTTTATTTTCTGTGCCTCTCTGTACCACCAGCTACATGTGACGGCCTCCTGACGATTGTACATGTGAACTAAAGGATGCTCTCCAGTCTTGTGTTGCGTGGTTGATTTTTAGACTTTAGAGCTCTGGATAAACTATGTGCAAATGCAACTTTAACAAAAAAAGGAGTTGTTAATAGACTGGAGCTACATAAATGACATGAAAAAACAGTCGGGCTGATTGTCTGAGAGCTCCGTTTCCATTAGAATAGAAAATGTTGTGTCTTGTGCAGTTTAGCTGAATTGTGATTTATTTGTTTGTAGAATTTGCACAAACACAGCCAAATCCACAATTTTCTTTCTTCTTTCTGTTCTTGTGTAAACCGAGCTCCCTCTCAGCATCGGTGCGATGCCTCTGTACTCAATATGTATCCTGCGTATTACACAAGACCAGCGTTGATGCTGGACTTTGCAATAGTGAATGACTGCGTGCGTGTGTTGATCACAAAGCTTTGCAATACTAAAGTATTTCTGAGGGTTTTTTTCTAACACATTTTAATGGCTGTAGATGAATCTAGGATTTGCTGTCGCTTATCGCTTTGTAAACAGCTTCTGCTTTTTAAGTATGTGGAGTTTATTTTGTTTTGTTTTTTTCTGACCTGAAATATACATTAGATTTTGCAAAGATTTTATATCACACTTACATTGATATTGTTTTACTGTGAATAAGGTCTTTCTAGAGCAATCTTAGCATGCCTACTTGCAAACTGTAATGTACAGAACCAGCTGTTTTCAGAAGGTGATGATACTGAATTTGGACTGACAGACAAAACACGACACAAACATTGATTTTATTTATTTTTTCATGGTGTATTTATGGATCATTTTAAATTCCATAAGTCATACTTACATCTTTTTTTTTTTTGAAAAATATATATTTCTTTTCTCTTATTTAGAGCAGAAGGAATTGTCTTTTACATTCCTAAATAAAATGTGGGCTGAAGCACATCCCTCTCCTGTTGTTGTCGCCTCTATGTAGACTCTGCTGTTTCTGGGGTTGTTATACATGACTGAGCGCAAAGTTTCTGGCTGCATATCTAAAGCCCTCTGCTCAAATGATACAACATACACATGGATAAATGCACGTATACACTGGAAAATGCACAGACGATATGACTGTTGGAGAAATTATACTTTTTTAGCAAATTGGGGGGGGAGGCATGCACACAATGTATAAAATCACCACTTTTGCTTTTGTTACATCATCTAAACTTCCTTCACAGACAATCCACAGTAGTGAGAATTGGCTCCAAAATGAGTCTATGTATTTGATATATAATATTTGTGGTTCAGACTAAAAGCCCAATAACATCAGAGAAAAGGAAAAGTATAGTTGTACTGCCCTCAAGTGCCTCTCGCAAGTATTGTACTCACAAATAACATTCGACTGTTAAGATATAACCGATCCATCCATTACATAACATCGAAAGAACACAAAAAATATCAGATTTTCTGTTCTTGTGCAAACGCAGTGCTTGCATTTTTTCAAATGGTCCACAAAATTCCCAAAACACTCAAAAGATTTTGTTTAATTTTTTTGTTAATCAGGAAAAAAACATGAAATTACAAGTAAGAACTGATGGTTTTTAACCGTGCAAATATTGAATCTGTAAAACAGTCACAACAGTGGGGTGGAAGGAAAAATGCTGACTGACTACTGGCTCTAATGACATGCCACTTCTCTGTGACTGCATGTGCACATCACGAACAGCAAATCCAGATATTTATCACACATAATTCCTAGGCTCAAATCTGGCAAGTTTCTCCCAAAAAGAGGAGTCCATAAAACAAAACAGCAGTGGCACAAAACTCTGAAGCCACAGCTTGGATATCTGTGGTTATGTTCCATCTTCTTTATCCCATCCATCCATCCATCCATCCATCCATCCATGTGAGCTTCTAGCGTGATTTTGCCAGCTATCCATCCCAAACAAGGCTGTGATGTAACCATTAAATGCAGGCATAAAAGAGTCCCTTCCTTGGCTTTTTTTAAAAATCTTTCCATTGTCCATCATCAAGAGTCCTGCATAATTCGAAGGTCTTTGGGCCACAAGACAGTGCAAATCGTTTATTATAATATTCAAGACAGCTGGAAGTAAGCGATCAGGTCATGTAGTATAGAATAGGGCTAAAATATTTTTCTAATACTCTTAACTGAAAACAGAAAATCTGAATATATGTGAAATAAAAACCTTAAAAAATATAGCAGACTATGCCATGGTAGTTAAACGTTTAAACGTGAGTATGAAGGAGCGTGACTTTACAATAAAGCTGCACAAGCGGATGCTGATCTGAAGGAGGGGCGGGGGTCAGGATCTCCTTTTGCATCCAGACTGGCAAGCAAAGTCAGCTTCACTGCAAGCGCCTCAGAAAGTTGGTTGGCTGTTTTGTTGCTGCTGCTGCTGTTGGGCGAGCTGTTGAGCGGTGGTGAGCTCCTCGATCAGGCGCTTGAAGGTGATCCTCCTCTCGGGTGACTGCTCCCAGCATCTTCGCATCAGCTCATACACCTGTCAGGGGAAAAGAAACGGCAACCAAAAGAAGTTTTGTTAAAAATTAAAAATCTAACAAAACTGCAGCAGCTCTGACACGCTACACTTTTACATCTGATGCTGTCAGGTTTCCTTGGACGGATGCTTAAATGCCTGCAACCTCAGTGTGACCTGACTGCATGTTAAAACTCACTGAATCATTTTCATTTAACATAAAACCAAAGATTACAATTAAAACCGTTCACTATTTAGTTCTGCTTAAATAGGTTAGGAAAGAAACGAGTGCCCCTTTACTGAAATATGCCATAAAAGCACAGTGAAGATACTGCTATTATTAGCAATATTTCAGGAAGTCAATCCACATCTCGTGTAAATCAGATATTTCTACAGAAACCGACATCAGCAGTTTCTGTAGAAATGTCTGAAAAAGATCTAAAACCAGCATCGGTGGTTAACGGTTCTTCTTTAAAGAGCGAAGTTATGAAAGAAACACAGTTTGTGAGTGAAAAACTGGTGATTGCAGTAAAAATGACTGGATTACGAGTGAGAACGTCTCGATTTTGTACCCAGCAATGCACGGATGAATGTCAACTATTCAAGGTAAAAAACTCCCAATGAATGAATACAACGCATCACATATTAAGAGGCCCATATTTATCTTCTCTTGAAGCCTACTGTGGCTGTTGTTTTTCTTTCAATATGCTGTATTTGAATTTGTGTAAATAAAAACAAAAAAGCCAAGTCATTACCGCTGGTAATACTTACAGAGTCAGGACAGTCTTTAGGACACGGCAGCCTCTTTCCTTCTTGCAACACCTTCACCAATCGGATGATAGTCATCTGACCATGAGTTTTACCGATCATTTCAAGGAAGCACTGTGAGGGTAAGGACAAGGGGAGGTTACAAAGGAAAAATATGCTACACGCTGGGCTTTCTCTACTTTCATTTAGATGTGGGCCGTGGAAATACAACTTTAGTCATAGCAGTGTTGAACATGCGCACTCTGTGTTGCAGGTTTAATAGCTTTTATTTTCTAGCTTCCATAATTCTTCAGTCTTTCTAATCTGTGCAGGTTTATTAGTTAGTGCTTCTGGTAGCAGCAAAAAGCCTGATGTAAAAAGATGTTGATGATAAAATGAGCTCTTAGCACTGGCTCGAGCCACTTTGGAAAGCTCACAGTGGAGTCTATCATCTGCCACTCTGGCCAAAGACCAACACCATCTGCTACATACAAATATGTGTGTGCCGTTTACTTTACACGACTGGCACACTATGTGTGCTTAATGCAGAATCGCAGATAGGAAATATTAGTAATGAAAGTGCTGCACACTTACATTCATCGGGCTCTTGGCAGAGTCGCAGTAAGTGAGGAGTTCATACATCGTCACCCCAAAGGACCAAACATCTGAAGCGAGGTAAAACTTACAGAGAGTCAGACACTCTGGAGCATACCTGAAACACAAAAAGCATAAAGGCTCAGTCACTGTGACAGTTCCTTCTTCATCCTTCCACTATACTGAGAGGTTACTGAGCAACATATAGTGTCCTCAACTGTATGTTAACAGCAGAGCTAAATCTAACACTTGTGTCGCTGCGGGACCGTCACTGAGAGGCGCAGACCCGGCCCAAACAGCACCAAAGCATGGTAATAGTTCACCTATTAAACACTGTTTTCTTGTTATTTGTTATCTTATTTAACAAATAATAATTAAAGCTGCTTTAGAGATTAATGTCCTCATAGAATAAAACAACTCGGACTGACATACTGTGCATTTTTCTGTCATTTTAGTGCAAACACATCCTTGAGGCTTAATTATCTGCCAGCTGACACCAGAGTCAATATATTGCTAGAAAGAAGAGCCCTTATGTGCCTTTTTTATATTCATCCTATCAATCCATTTCATTTACCATCTGACACCCCGCCCCCACCACACACACACAGGTTTTCAGCTATTATCTCTTTGTTGTCCTCTTGACTTACCAGAAAACAGGGCTGTCATTCTCGTCCTTGACTGTGTAATAACCTTCGGTATCTTTGATGCTCTTCGTGAGGCCAAAGTCACCAATCTTCACAGTCGTCTCGTTCTCCATCAGCACGTTTCGGGCAGCCAGGTCACGGTGGATGTAATTTTGAGATCCCAAATAGTCCATTCCCTAAAATGAATTAAACACAGTGTCATGTTTCGTCAGGTTCAGAGTGGCCAAAAGGAATTGAAGGAACTGAAGAGAAGGTGCATTACCTTGCATATCTGCACAGAGTAGCTGAGCAAGGTGGGGATGCTGATCCTGGCTCTGTTTCTGGGCAGATACTCCTTCAAGCTGCCCAGTGGAAGATACTCCATGATCAGCTTAATAGCCTGACCACCTATAGATTCATAAAAACATGCAGTCAGACTTTGTGTATACATGATATTATATTTATTTATTCTGATCTTTGAAAAACTTTAACTTTAAAAACACATTCAAAATCTTCAATATCATCATCATGCAGTGGACAGAATACCTTCTTCTTGGGAAATGCCCTTATATTTGACTATGTTTTCATGGTAGAGATCCTTCAGGATGTCGATCTCTCTGGAGAGGTTGTTGCTCTGCTCTTCTCGGTTCTCGGGCTTCAGCGACTTCACAGCCACCAGCTCGCCCGTTCGGTCCCCCCTAGGGTCGTAGCGGCATAGCTCCACCTTACCAAAGTGACCCTGCACGAGAAACATGAAACAAATTTTAAGTACTGAACAGCAGACAAACAAGTACATGGGAAACTTCATCCATTGGCTCGTTTAGTTCTGTTATGCTCAGATCACAGGGGAGCTCTGAAGGTCCTAGGGATAGATGGAGGCAGATGATCTGCTGTGGTGACCCCTAAAAAGAGGGGCTACTGCAATATATATATTTATATATACCTGTAAGCTTACACCCACTGGACCAAATAGACTTTTATTTAATAAAGCCATTTTTCATGTCAGCTGAGTGGCCAAGTTCTTTGTGCGTCAGTCTAATTACTAACAAAATGAATCCTATGATTGGCTCAACACGAATGAAGCCAGACACAGCAGCACTGTACCTCTCCCAGATCTCTGATCTTCCTGAGGAATCTCTTTTCGAACATGGTGGGGTCAACATCTGGTGTTGGCTGGGGTTTGATAGAAGGGTCTGAAAGAACAAAAAGAGGTAAATTCATTAGGCACACTGAGTACAGCACGTCCCTCCCACAGCACATGCACGCTTGTGTCATAGGAAGTCCATTGTGGTCGACAGTGTCGACGTTTTCACTAGAACTCGGTGTGGTTATGTAATTACCTGTTTACTCATGTTTCCACAGAAATGGCTACTTCTGGCAGGACAATATATCACTCAGGCAAAACCTTTTATGTATCATCATTATGAATATTTACCTAATTCTAACACAAAATTCAAACAAACAAACAATACTCACAAACAGTGAGAACTATAGTAGCTTGAAATAAGTTTGTCCCTTAGGGTTTCATTATATGATAAAACTGGCTTGAGTAAAATGGGTTGCAGTATCCAATTCTAACCAGCAGGTGGAAGAAGAGAGTATAATATCCTGCCATGGGGCCCATTTGAGGGGCTGATCTCTGACAATGCACCCAGTGAACTTCCTCAAGAACCTCTGAGTAGTGTAAACAACTCTGTTCACAGCCTGCTACTCCATGAGATACAAAGCATGCTTCACATTCAGGTACCATACCAATTTAAAAAACAAAACAAACAAAAAAAGATCACAATGTTTTAACTTGTACTTTGTTTTGTAGTCTTATGCAGTGTTATTGGCTTAAATGAAACATTTTTCAACTCTGAGCATCTAGAACGAATAAAAGCTGGACACAGTAGCAATACGATGACTGAAATCTAATGCTCAGGTTTCATATGTGCAGCCTCTTTATTAAGTGTAAAAAATGGTTTTATATAACGTGCAGACATACTCGGACATACTTTTTTCTATGAGCTGATCCATCTCTCTGACAATAGCCCTGAAGAAAGGTCTCTTCTTGGGGTCATAGTTCATGCAGTGGGTCATGAGTTCAGCTAGCTCTGTGCAGTCCGGGGTGGCCAGTTGGCACTCCGTTTCATAAAATCTCTCCTTCTGCTCAGAACAGACATGAAAACACGTATGAACAAGGTGCTGCATGAAAACTGACCTGTCGATACGGATGGACAGAGATGGTTAAAAAAAACAAAAAAACAAAAAGAAACCAAGAGACACTTGGTTGGATGATCATCAGTGCTTGTGTGTGCTCTTTACCTCTGTAAGCTTCTTGTCTTTGAGGGGAACCTCGCCATCATAGCAAATCTCCCACAGAGTAGTACCAAATCCCCATTTGTCAGCTGCGACACCCAGTGACGAGGCATTCCTCACACACTCTGGAGCGATCCACGGGATACGATGCACACACTCTGCACAAAGTGGACACAAACAAACTCCACTTTGTTTAAAAGTTGCACTTGCAAGTAAATCAGTGAAGACAGGTTTAAGCCTTCATGTTTCAAGTTTCATGAAGTAAAAGCAAAAAAGAAACCGTGAACAACATGTTTTTACTTAATTATCAAATCATGTTATCATCCTCAGGCTCTAACGTCACCAGTTTGTTCTTAATAAACGGCTAAAACCCCCAAAACATATGCACGTGTGTGTGTGTGGACTTTTCACACTGTAAAAGACATCTTAGGGCAGGTTATGCGCCTACACACTCACGATGCCCCAATTTCAAAGAAAAAAAATTAATTACAGTCTAGCTCTGACAAGCCAGCTGGCAGGTAGCCAACACAAAATGTTAAATTGCCGCTTGAAGTAAATTTTTAAAAAAGGCTTTGTATTGGGCAGCTCGGCTTTGACTGGAAGACGGGCTAAATGATTGGCTGACCTCCACTAGATAGATAGATGAGCAGTGTAAGTACTGAGGTCAAGAAGGGAAGAAACGGCGGGGGAGCCGAACCGATATCTGAGCGGGAAATTACATAATTGAGAGGGGGGGAGACAATGGATTAGAGGGTTTTGAGCAAAGTGATCTGAAATTGCTGGGAAGCACTGAAGATGCTCCCAGTGGGTTTCTGAGCACTTTATCCATTATGTTCAATCAAATCCATGTACAAGAACATCGATGTCTAACTGGAAAACCAGTTGATCAGTAAAGTGATGGAGACATGGGGGAAAAAACGGTAAAGTTCCGGGAACAAATGGTGAGGGAGGAGCTTTCCCAGGAGAATATGGCAGTGGGCATTTGTGCAGAAACAGTTCTAACTGTTCTGTGGTTTATACAAGCGCACTGGGTCATCAAACAACTTATAGCTCTTGCAGAAAAACAGAAACAAGTTGCGCTGTCTTCTCTGATCCAATACCTAGCCTTAAATTATGGTCTTTGACAGAAGCGGTCAACTACCTGTGCTTCATCAGAAATATGTTCATTTTGTATCTTTTCTATGTTGAGTGGAAAGAAAATGAGGGCATGACAGAAGCAAAAAGAGAGAAAGCTAACAGTAGTCAGCCCACATTTAAGTGGAAATTGTTTATTAGACAAAGTGTCACTCAAGCAAGCCAACATTGATGTGTTGTCGTTTTCATAAACTTTGTGTCCTGGTTTGTTTTTAAACTGGTTTCAATGCCAAATTAAACATCATCTAATTATGTTTGCAGTTTTATTCCTGAATATTTTGGCTTAAACATACAATTTGTAGAAACAAGACTAACAGTAAGCAGACGGTCTGACATCAGTGTCGTGCGGAAAAACACGTTGTCATGAATGGAAAAAGTAAATACGATAATGGATGAGGATGAGGGTCTAAGGTAATTACTTAGAGCAAGAAGGCCCAGAGCCAGCTTCCTAGTGCCTGTATTTAGCACAGAGCCTCGCCCTCTTGTGTCAACTTCCTTACTGCTTATGATTCCACCCACTTGGCCACGACTGGAGGCTTTGTCCCCACAGCGAGCAAAGATTGTATCCATCTTGATGCACGCTCAATCATCCACGTAAGGAAATACCAGAAAGTCGATTTTGTGGGAGAAACCTTTTGTAACTCACCTCAGTGATTTCCTCAGCCTCAGCTGACTGCAGATTTCCCCAAAGTCATAAGTAGTACATTTGCAGAATGACCGAAACTAACACCCCCGACGTGAGGCCAGTTTCATGATCATTAATATGCAAACTGTCCTGACCACTGATCAAAGGTCATGACTAACATTCACAGAGAGTTGGGGAATGGCCACAACCACAGCATTGTAAGATGGCCCCCTCCACAGATCAGAGATGGCCATTTCCTTCTGTGTTGTGCTTAGTCAGAGATTGTTTGATTTCCCCAATGTATAATTCACATCACTGGCTCTTAGCAGCATGCACTATACTGCTATACTATTGTATTAGTCACCTGGATGAGAGGCTGAGTGAAATGTTTCTCGGACTGAAAATGCTACATAAACAACTTTTAAGAAAGATACTACACATCCTTTTTCTTTATAGACTGCACAATGACTTTCTGACACTCATCCACTGGTTTTACTTTCAGTTACAGCTGACTAGAAAAGTGGAAGTTACTGTGAAATTTTCCATGGCAGCTATTCTGTAACCATTTAAGTTTCATTTTTAGTAATCCAAACTGAGCCTGTCTGTATGTGGACTTACCCTCTCTAGTGAGCACTGTGATTGGTATTCCTGGGTCGCTGAGCTTAATGAAAGGCCCTCCTTCATCATTACCGAGTCCGTCTCTGGCCAGCAGTATGTTCTTAGCACACACAAAGCCATGGACCAGCTTTTTGTCCTCCTACAACAAACACGGGACAGAACGCATTTTCGTCCATAATCAAGAGGATACGCTTTCACATTTAATAAAAGAAACTAATATCGACATCAATCCATGGCTAAAAACAAGTTTTCATGGACTGTGTCTTTAGTTCTCCTCTCTTACCAAGTAACTGAGGGCTGATGCCAACTGCAAGGCCACCTGGAACTTCCACGATGTGCTGAGTGGAGTCTGTTGTCTCCTCATAAACACATCCAGTGGTCCTAGCTGGACAAACTCCTCCACCATGATATCTTATGGTACACAAAGAGAAAGGTGTGAGAAACCTTAGCCACAGGAATAAGAACCTCATTACACAACCACACCGCTTCTAATATGCACTTACTCTCCTGGTGGTGGACACACACTCCATAGAGCAGCACAATATGTTTATGGGACACTTGTTGCATCTTACTGGCCGTTTCAAAAAAAGCCTTTCAACAGAAAGACAAACATTTCAGCATGGTTAGATGTTACAGGACAGATACAATTTGATGGAATTTTCTGGGATGTTCCACATCTTTAGGAGCTCACCATGGAGATGTCCCTGTGTCCAGAACCCAGCACCTTTAGGACCACTTTGACTTCCTGGAAGGATGTATATCCTGCATCCTCCTCCTCCTCACCCTTCACCTTCAGAGTGCCCGAGTAAATGTTGGTTTTTGTACCTATACCCAGGTGCTCCTCCTGGTTGACACAACAGAGAGCCCAAAAGATTATAGTGTAAAGTATTAAAGCAAAAGTATACCTCCTACAAGAAAGGCTTTTGCAGCATTTTATTACAGGTTTTTCAAAAACATCATAACTCTCACTTCCACATAAAAAAACAGAGCCCGGACTATAAAATGCAACGGAATGCATTTAAAATAATGTAAAAAAGTGTAATTGTTTTATTTATTTAAAGAATAAACAAAAAAAGGAAACAAACACAGAAGAGAGAAGAGTACCTGTTCAATGTCCTCTTTGAGAATGCGTGGGAAGCTGACTTGATTGCCGGGCATGTGTCTCTTAGGGGCTGTTGCTCTGTTTTTGGTGGCCACAAGGAGATTTGAAATCTCTGTAACATAAAGAAAACAGATTTGATTGTAAGCATTACATATTAAAAAGATATACTTTAGATTCTTATTTTTGTGAACAACCTTGTCCCCTCATATAAAAATGGCCTGTCTGTCTGTTCTGTATTTATCATTTTAAATTCTGTTTAGAAAACTTTAAATCTACCTCTGTAGATGCTTTAATATATTTAATATATTACATATTATTGATATTTAATAAGATAAAACTGCCATCCCTTTATTATCAAAATATACAAATATCCAATAACATTAAAAGTATAAGCAAGAATGATTTTTACAGTGAAGTAATGTATTTTACAAATGTACAGATGATCATATAGGCCCTGGCATTCTGAATGAAAGAAGAACCGTGTTTAGACGTGGTAAAACAGGCATTCAAGAATTACGTCAATGTGGCAATGATGTGAACAGATATTCGTATTTGGCTGCCATACTGATTCAGTTTATTTTTTGCGTATACAGAGACATGTGGGAGGAACAAGTGAAGATGTATCTTTGTGCCTGTTACCTATATGCATGTGTGTTTGTGGGTGTCTACTGCTGTGACAAAACCAACGCACTGTGGTTTAAGGGGGAAGAAAAAACCCAGCATCTGTGCTCCATCATTTCGGAGAGCATCTCGAGCACTATTCTGTAACATGCAATCTGGGTTTCATGCTAAAAGCCAAACACAGCATGCACCCACATGTCCCATCAGATATTTTATATACTCCTCTAAAATCTCGCCTTAATACTTACAAAGCAACATATACTCACCCACTCTTAAACCCTGCAGCATTTTTCACAATTTATCTTACTGTCAGAACAGATAAACAAAAACCTGCATAGAGCCAAAATAACAATAAATAAATCAACTGCATGCTATTCCCAGGAAGTGAGCATATAAGGGTGTTATTGTGGTAGACAGAGCGTTGTGCAACACCTTATAAATATTTTAGCAGAGACAACACAGCACTTCTGTCTTTTGTCTTCCTCTAAAGCTCGTCCCAACCAAAGACTAACCGAAAGCAGCCAGCATTTAGATGACTGTCAGAACCACAACACCCTGAACAAACACGAGCAGCCCAACACATCCATGCATAAATGGCTCTACCTTTCCCTGAGTGAAGTAAACACAAGAGCACTAGATTGGCTCCGGAAACCCACATTTACAACTCTCTTCCTCTCTGACACCATTTTACAGAGACAAACACACACACCTGACCAGACCTGCTTCCCTTCACTCTCAGTGAGTCGCCTAAACTTCAATAGCAATCCACAACTTAGAGTCTGCACAAAGTGTAAAAAAAAATACCGTTGGGATTCACTATAAAGTTGCAATGAAAAATTTCAAATTTAAGTAATTAAGTAATTAAGTATTTCTATTTAAAGAGCAGTCCATGAACGTGTCAGAAAGCACCAAAGCCACTGCTCATTGTTCCTCAGCAGTGCACACTCACAGAGCTCTGAAACATCCGAAACCAATTTTCAAGCCAAGCCATTATTATGACTCAGAATGAGCTAGAATTACGTCTCAATCTTACAATGATTTGTTGCTCAAAAAGTGGCTGTGAGTCACCCATGAAAAAAAAAAGGAAATGCACGTTGAATTATTGATATAACTCGGGCAGGACCTCCTTGGATGAGGGGGTCTAGTGATAATGGCCGAAACACCCAATGAATCCAAGGTCCACTGCTGATTATGTGTCCCACAATTTTTATATTGTATTCTAGATCAGATTACTAATCCAGAAACATAACCAAGTAAGTTAAAAAGAAACTTAAAAATGCCAGAATAGCTTGTGATAAAAGACTGAAACACCCTGTGAAGTTGAGGCGCACAACGATGTGTCCCACTGGTAAAGTTTCCGGAATGCCATTCCTCAAGACTGCTCAGTGTTCTTCTTCAAATCCTGAGTCAGCTTAATCTAGAGACCAGCTGCAATAATCACCAATCGTACATGCAGTCTCCATGAATTTCAAACATTCTGACATTGTTTTTGTAGATCACCAGCTTCTCTTAAGGTCTAATTAAGTTTTTGACCTGCTAATTTGCACCAATCTTGGTAAAACAGACTGATCGTTACTCATGTCTGTGCTCATATTTTTGTCTATTGTCAGTAGATGACACGCAGTTTTTATAATTGCGGTATCATGCCAATATATCCTGAAAACAAAAATAAATCTAGTTTTATATCACACTTAAAAAGAACGACTTGTTTCCCTGAGCTTTATAGGTTTATCTGTTGTATGTCTGATTCTACCCAGTATTAAAGTTGGAGTTTGTCTTTTATATGATGATGATGGAAAAAAGAACACACTGCATAGGCTTAACTGTGCCACATGTTTTTACATGTACAATATGTATAAAAAACCTGCTGTGAACCAGTGAAATTACTTTATCGTGTCATTAATTCAACAATGTTAAAATGACCATATGCAGTAAGACTGTGCAGTAAAAATAGTCCATTTACAGATGTAAAATGCAGAGTTCCTATTCCTATTCGTGTGTTTGTGTTATTATACTTGTCTTGAAAATAATAATGTAAATTTGCGATGCTGTGAGCTTGTCTTCATTTACTGTGAATTCCATTGTTTATTTTTCATTAAGCTTACCTCTTGGCTGTGGGGGGCAGCAGCGGACCAACTGGAACTGAAGGTTGTCGCTACGCAGATTCTGGCCCTCCAGGTGCTCAAGCAGCTCCTTGAGAGTGGATTGTGATGTATCTGTGCCGTGCAGAGTGAAGGAACTGGGGGTAACCTCAATCTGGAAGTTCTTGTATTGGCGCACAGGACGAGACTCCCTCAAGTCAATCTGGATGAACAATAAACATTTTTTTCATTTTAAACAAGTAGTTCTTTTATCAACAATCAACAATCAAAAGACCCTCTATGAGCAAGCATTTGGTGACAGTGGGAAGGAAAAACTCCCTTTTAAAAGGAGATGACCTCAGCCAGAACTAGGAGCAGGGAGGACAGCCATCTGCTACAATCGCATGAGAAAAGAGAAGAAAGCAGAGAGAAAAAAACCCCCAGCAAACTATGGAAAAGTGCGCCAGAATTTAACGATCGCTAATTCTTCAGCTTTCAATTATTTTTCCTTTTTCCTTTTGAATGGCAAACAGGCTTGTAGAAATTTAACAGAGACCAACAAAGATGGGTGTGTGCTTGAATACATTTGAGGTCTACAGTGGTCCCCTCAACCCAAAATTGCTGCTCTCATTTAAAAATTAGTAAATAAAATGTAGGTAAGTAGTGTTTTGTGAATTTGTCAGTTAATCAGTAGATATACAGTACCTCACTGCAAACCACAGTGATGATGATGTACTGGTATTCAGTACAGCTCCAGCGCAGGATGTAGGCGCCCTCCTCATTGCCCTCCTGGCGCAGCTTTTGGACGGCGTACTCCGTACTGCAAAAAGAAAAACAACAAGACATTTGATTTAACTGACCTGACCGGAGACAGCTGTTCAATCAAGATATCCCAGAAATATTAACCTATAAGAAAAATTTGATGGAGGTTCTTATAGGAGCTTTTACTTTGACATTTTTCAGCCTGCGAAGTGAGTTAATCACCGTGTCCAGTAACATGACATGCAACAAATGATGAATTTGTTTGATAAAACTGCATGTGGCACATTCTCATCCTCCTCAAATAAAATTGCCAGTACAAACCTGATGGGTCCGTGGCAACCATTGGTGATGTTGTGTACCACTGAAGCAGGAGCCACCTCCTTGCACAGGTAGTGATGGGCATCCACAGTCAGCCTGAAGTACCCGTCCACAAGGGCTGCAAAGGACAGAGCCTCTGCCCTTGTATCCAACAGCAGCTCCTGAAAAGTGCAGAGACATCCAAAGAGTGATAAAGGAAAGCAGGAAGGGAAGAAGTGATCAAAGTAGCAGCTATTACAAACACTCCACAGCACTCTCGAGCCCTGTAGTATGAGCAGTGATGAATGACAAACTCAAATTTAATTTCACAATTAAGTATGATAAAATAATTTGTCATGGCTAATAAAATGTAGCGAGGCGCCATCTTTGATTTGGCAGGTGAAAAAAACAATACAAAAACAAAAACACAACCAATGTAGAGAATGCAAGAAACAAGCTACAGGGCTTCTCAACAATGAATCCTTATACAATTCTTATTTAAGATATTATTAATAACACTTTAATTGCAATTTCTGGTTTTACTTATAAATGAAAAGTTTTAAAATTTTAAGTGAGCATTTGAGCAAACACTAAAGGAAACACACACACACACACACACACTAGTCTCACCATCTTCTTGTTGTCCTGTTTATAGATGGTGACCATCGCCTCTTTGATGACAGTATGCGTGATCTCATGGAAGTCACAGAAGACCACCCAGCCTTCGTTTGCATCTTTCTTTTTGTCAGTCTTCTGTTTTGCATCATGTTTGTTCTTCTTTGACTTTCCTTTTTCTCTACAGGCCACAGACGACTGTTTACAAAGCAAACATAGCAGTGTTCATAAACAAATCACAATTAACCACAAATATAATTTTTTCTTAGCCAATCTGAAAATGCTGCATCACCTTTTCAAAGTCTCGATGACATTCTGTAACAGATCTCAGTGCATCAGAGATGTATCAAGTGATTAAGCGATGTTAAAATAAAATGTTAAAATGTTTTACTAAAATACTTTAAATATTACAATGTTTAACATTTAATATTTCTATTAAAGCCACTGATTACATTTATCAATTTTGCACACATTTCCTAACTTACTGAAGCTTGTATGAACTTGTTAACACCCACCAGTAAGTTAAGTTTTCCTCATTTGTTTATAAATTAAGGCCAGATTAAATGGTTGTGCCGTCTCTGGGATTCTCAAATAACAGGTTAGAGATCTGTCTACTACTTGTAGACTCAATTTACCATTGTGAAACTAAAGGCCCTTGAGGTTTTTACTCACTGTAGCGGGTTTCTTCCTCCAGGAAATACCAGTGGTGCCGGTAACCAGGACCTGCATGTCACGGCTTGCCTCCATGTTCTGACTCTGAGTGTGTCCTAGACTCTGATTATAATATCCTGGAAACAGGTAAACATAGCAAACATATATTGTAGTAGTTGCACAGAAACATAACATTTTACACAAAGATTGTTTACAAAATAATCTGTTATTAACTATGGTGGCTTTATGTTTGAAAGAAAACAAACAAACAAACTCAGATCCCCAGATTACTTTCAGTAATCAGCCCTATAGTGTTTGTAATCTTCACACGTTATTTAGAAAAGTACGGGGTGTGGTCTACTAAGTAATAAGTGGGTTAATGTTACAATGTGTAAACATCCTCTTTCACTTTTGTTTTTTAGCCATTGCAAAGTTCTCACTGTGTCTCGGGTATATTTGGATGTCAACAAGGTGCAAACCTTTTTTTTTCTCTCTCTTGCAGATCTGCTAGTGGGACACCACAGGTAGCCTACATGTAAACATACCAAACCACTGCCAACTATAGATCAATGCAGCTAATTAAACTACTGTCAGAGGACAGTAGAGACAAGCAGTTATCTCAGTTTTGTAGTAGAGTAGCAATTAGAGTTTTCCTCATTATATGTATTATTCCCTGACTGGTCTCAAACTCTAACAGGGATTAACTCAGTAACTGTTTGAATCTTTCGTTACTCAAAATCTTCTGAAAAATTTGGGTCATGCTGGAAGTCAAAAATTAAAATGCCAGGGTGCTTTTTTCTACAACCTGAGCTGTTGAATGTCACAAATCTGTTACACTCCCTGGGAAACTAAAATCATGATTAGCATCTTCTCACCACTCCAGTTACTTACCGTAGTAACTTCCATTGCAGAAGTCTCCCTCCTGAATTACACTAAGTGAAGAAGGCTCAAAAACCTCGCTGCCCATGCTGCTGACCAGGCCCTCCAACGTGGCCAGGTACTTGATCTTCAGGTCGTATGTCGTGATGTTGCTGTCCTTTACTGTGCGACTGTTGAATTCAGTGAGGAATTTCTTGAACACGTTGTTGATGCGGATCCGTGTCAGAATGTTACGCTGCTTAATGTTGCGGTTCAGCGAATCTGGGATGAAACGTTTGTAGCTGGGAAATGGGGAGAGGAGGGGATCAAGACAGAATGCATAAACATTTTTGTCAATACAATAAAACACTGTGCTGCTCTCTGTGTTTTAGTTGTAGGTGTCGTTTTTTTTGGCAATAATCAAAAAGCCGTGTTACCTGATTTCATGGGAAGCAGTGGACAGAGGCATTTTCTCGTTCATGGCGTAGTGAGTGATTGCAAGCACAGCCATGCCCAAACACTCGTTTTCTATCTCATGTTGCTCTGCCTCTGACTGGGGGCTCCTGAGTGGAACTATGCCAGTCTGAAAGTCATTTTGGCTCTGTGCAACAAATATACATTTATCCTTAGCAGATAATCAGACAAACAGCAAACACATCTGATCATAACAGAACTCTAATGGAAAACTGATCGTACACACTGTAAAAAGTACCAGCTGATGTTGTTTTAAAATGAGCTTTCATTGATAATGTGTTTTCATGGGATTTTAAAGTAAAACTAAGAAGAAAATAATACACCAAAAACATTCAAATGTTAAGTTGAGTCAAAGTGGATCTTTCTGTGATCTGAGATAATATATTCTTGATACATGCAACAATGAATGGGTAAAAGCTTGTGTATACAAAAACCAGTATAACAATTCAGGGTCTAAACTAAACCTTGCAAGCACAAACCTGAGTAAACAGGTAAGTCAAGGAGTCAGCATCCAGTAACGGTGTTCCCTCTGGTATTTTCTGTGGGCTGTTTCCTTTGAGTTTACTGATGCAGTGCCTCCAGACATACGGCTCTCCTTCAATGGAGCTATGCCAGTTTCTGAAATAAAACCTGACAACAGAGAGATAGAGGACTGGTTAACAGCACAGCATAAATACACATGAGGGAATTTATGGCTTCGGTTTCTTCGTTTTTCTTTTTATGCAGGTCTGCATCACATTACTGATGACGAGTGATTGAAATGTAAAACTGTCCGTGCTGACTTTTACTCTGTTACTCTTTTAATCTGTCATCTCCATTTGACTTTTCCAGTTAGCGTTTCCGTGCTGGGCAGTGACACCAACATCTCAGGTTTGAGGTTTTGGTTTTTTGGTTGTTTTTTTTTCCTTTTACTTTTTGACCCGTTTTCCTGTTTTCTCTGAAACGAAGCAATTTTAAAGCTAGCCTGTGCTTTACAGAGGAAATACGTGTACAACATGTATCTGTCTACATCCTCCAAAGAACAACAACAGACAAAGGGCAATGCACAAAACAGTAGCAACCTAAATCAAAGCAACACTGAAAAATGAATGAAAAGAAGAGTAAGAAGTAATAAAACAAATAATGAAGGCTCAATAAAAGGTCATGAATTTAATAAAACCTGATCAACCTGATATATTAATACTGTCAAATATGCCATCCGATATTCTCTAATATTACAACTTTTTTTTTAAAAATATCTGTATCTACGCTCTGTTTTGCCACTTTCTGACCTTATATAAATCTATCCTGATGGTATTTTTATCTTTGTGTGTGCTTTGTTTAGACCATGTTCATATCATGATATGATCATAATAACTCACTTGTTTTTAGGTGGCTGCACTAAAGCTCATACACAAAATATGCACCACAGTTAGGCTCTATGTACACTTGATTTTCCCTCTACTAGCTATTGTCAAAACAGAGCACAGATAAAGAGGAAGTGTAATTGACACCACAGTGTTTTTTTGCCCCTCTTTGCATGACATGCTACTCAAGTTGTACAGTGGGGTAGTAGAGTCAAGTACAAATATGGCATTATTTTACTGGTTTTAAAAAAACTGGCAAAATAAACTCTTCACTGAAGTATTCTTCACTGGGTTGAATCTGGTGCAATACTTTGCCATTATCACACGAAATGGTAGAACAAACTGCTTTCTGTTCCTATTTTTAGTTCCTTTTATAGCTGTTGTAAGACTTTATTATTTTATGAGCAGCAAAACAACTCCCTCACTAACCTTGACCTTCGGTTGAGTCCTGTGTTGGCTTTCCTTTGTCTTTTTTTAAATAAGGTCTAACAAATGTTTCATTTCAATTTGGGGTTCAAAACACGCCACAGTAACAACAAATTCTCGCTGCAAAAACTAAAGCTGTAATCCAGAAATGACCAAACTCCCCAATCAATCACAAATGGATCATTTGGTCCAGACATTTTTATTCTATTCTATTATTGTGAAATGTCTTATCCTATCATCTTACTTAAAGAGCACTCGTATTTATGAAAAAATGTCTGATGCTGACAAGTTTTTGTTTTAAATCAGAACACACAGAATGGCTTACAAGTACAGAAAAAAAAACATATAAGGAAGCAATTCTGCCCTATCCAGAAGTCTGCATTCTTAGCTTGTGCTAAACAAAAGTGAAACAAAAGAACTTAGTCTTAATAGTGTCTTTGGGTTTTTGGGACATGGTTGCTTTAATACAGTTTGAACCACTGCTCTATCCCAACAAGCGAGGAGAGATTCCATACCTAATTGACAGTGTTCCTAGCTAGGAGGAGGCAAGTCAAGGTTCCCGTCTTTAATTTCTGCCTAAGTTGCAATGCCCAGATTCCAGCACCTAATATTCTGTCTGGCCTGTAAAGACTTGGTTGGTTCCCCTGACAACCCCTGATAACCAGCTAGGACAAGTTGCATAATCTCGCTTTTTAGCCCATACCTCTTGAGTCAGGCTTTATCGGGCTCGGAGCATCATACAGTATGCAACTTGTCCTAGCTGGTTATCAGGGGGGTTGTCAGGGGACCCGACCAAGTCCCTCCTATTAGCTAGGAGGGATTACAGCTTAGCAAGCTATGTCGAGCTTAAAGTCAGAGTATTATGTGTCGCGAAAGACCACGTTAACCTGCCCCTGACCAGTTACGGTTTAAAATCAGCTGAAAGCACAAGCTGACTCTTTCATTTACGGCATGTTCTAAATACAGTCGAGTCGCTATAGGGGAAATATGTTTTATATGTGAAAACTGTTAAGCTGTACCTTAATAGAACCATAGAATTAATTACAAACTGTGTTGCATTGCATAATACAGAACACATTAGGGCTGCTCGATTATGGCAAAAATGATAATCACGATTATTTTCACTGAAATTGAGATCTCAATTATTTGACGATATTTATTTAACAATAACAATGTATTGAATAATGACTTTAAAGATTGTCATAAAATAATATAAAATAGTGTGCAAATACTGATAACAGTGCAAATGTTTGCAATATAAAAAATAAATGAAAAATGTAAACATCTATGTTTAGTGAACTTTGCAGTGTTGCTCTGTGGGGCAGCTACGACACCGTAGCAAAGTTTACACACTGTCTACTTGATCCACCTCTGACTCCGCGAACCCATAATGTTTCCACACCACTGAAGTTTTTTTTTACCTCTTATTTCAACCAACGGCGTCACTCTCCTCTCCAAATAACTTCTGCTTAGCTTTCCGAGCTTCCCTCGGGTCCTCTTAATTGTTGTGACGAGTGTTCGAAATGCAGAGAGGTGCGCTCGATTTGCCACACGGAGCAGCGCGAGAGTAAAGCACGAGGGAGGGGCTAATAATCGGCTCAGTCATTTTTAATGATCGTTGAAAGCCCAGGTCGTAATCGAGATTAAAATTTGATTAATTGAGCAGCCCTAGAACACATGCTAAGAATACCTGTTCAGTCAATAAAAATTATTTCCCTTTGATCTGCCTACAGGCAAAAGCAATTTCCATATCTTCTTTGTCAGGTTATGGGGCAATAATATTTAATTTTTAAATGTCTCCAGTTCAGAGCTCTAATGTGCAGTCATCACCTTAGCAAAAAAAAAAAAAAAAACAATAGCCCCAAGTGCACTTTCAGCAATAAAATAATTAACATGAATGACCCATGAAATGCCCCTTTTTATGTCAGTATGCACAGAGCCTGAAGCAAATTGTGCTGCTTTACAGAGAAAGTTTATAATGTGAAACCCATTGCTTCCTGCTGGGGTTTTAGATTTATCAAGTCAACTAAAGCAAAGAAAGCCTGGCAGTGTTTAACTTTATTTGCAGTATTCTCTTCTGGTATCACGAAATGTACACCCTCTGATACAATACAGGAAACAATTCACAAATGATAGAAAATTAGAGTATTCAACTCCAGAGTAGGGATGGGTATCGTTTAGGCTTTATTTTGTTTCTGCAAAATGATAAGCACCGTCCAACCGCACGCACGAGGCGATCCGCACTAACTCACTAATGGAGATTTACCACACCCGCAGTAGATGTGCTCGGTGTGAGGTCTTGTAGCAAGCTATCAAATACGGTGCATTTCTCGGCTTTAAAAAAAAAACGCCATGCGTCGCCAGGTGTTTTATCAGATTCGAGGTGTTACCTCCTTTGCACAGTATCACCTTAAAGCACTTGTTGCAGGCTGCTGAGTTTGCATCTTTTGCTGTGAAGTACAGCAAGACTTTTGACCGCACCACCTTGGGCATTTTTAATCAGTAGCTCTGCTCTAAAAGAACGTACGTACCTGGGCCCGCCTACTATCCTTGGAAAGGTAAAATGATTGGCTAGAATCCAAAGTGTATGACATCTCAAGAAAAAAAAAAAACAAGCACCGAAATAAAGCACCGAAATGTGCGCTGCTTTTCGGTCTGGTTACTACCGTTTATGTCAGAACCAGTGCCATAATGGCACCGGATATCAGTACCCATCCCTACTCCAGAGCGCTCATTTGCTGCCGTGACATCATTCTTACCTCATGCGATAGTGGAACTTGATACTGGTTTCATCTGTGACCTCGAACTCGTAGTTTGGGGGATACCAAGTGCCAGTGAGCTCATCGTACAGGGCAAATAGGTTATGGCACAGGGGAGAGATAGCTGAGAGACAGAAGAGCAGAGGGGGAGGGGGGGATCAATAGTCAGGCTATTAGAATAATGACATTGGAAGAAGATTACAGCCTGTTTAAAGAGAGTGTTTAAGAGATGTGGAATACAATCTGCTTCTAAACAGACACATAGACAGCAATAATCCCACTATATTGTTGCAAAAGTAAAATGTTTTATGACTCGTAGAAAAGGCTCCACTCTGTCCATCTGTTGTTCTGACTTGGGATGTGCCAGTCTGATATCTGGATCAGATACTGGTTGGATCCCAAATAGCTGGATAAGATACTGGAGACAATGCACTGATCTACAGCATTTCTATTCAATTCAGTTCTATTTAGTTAACTACACCATGCAACGGCAGCAGAGTACTGGCTGTTAGCCAGAGTGCTAACATAGCATGGAGGAAGCTGGCAGTAAAAGGACAGCAGTTGGGAGACATTTCACACTACGGAGCTACATTTGCACAGCAGCAACAACAGCTTTTATTTTGTATGTTTCACATGTTTTTACTTTCACCTCACACTTGGGTGAAAGTGAGTTGTTGCAGGTAAAAAGCTGCAATGATGATATTGATATCTTTCTTACTCCTTACAGCATCACATTTAAACATTGTTCACATTTGTCTGGACGTCACCAAAACTGAAGCTTCTGGTACCTTTCAATACCAAAGATCCATAAAGTATCATGTATGTTCCTGGTTCTCAGTATCAAGTTTGAAATCCCACCATTGTGACAATGGAAGCTAGGCAGCTAACAGTATTATTGTTTAGTTAGAGAAATAAATGTGCACACTAGGGCTGCCACAAACGATTATTTTGATAGTCGACTAGTCACCGATTAT